TTGGAAAGCAACCTTCGTTTGGTGGCGGAAGTCGAATCGTTATAACAACTAGAGATAAACAGTCACTAAGTAGACTTGGTGATCAGATATATGAGCCCGAGTTGTTAAATGACGATGATGCTCTCGAGCTGTTTTTGCAGTATGCTTTCAGTACAAAGCAACCCACAGAAGAATACATTGATCTGTCAGGCCATTTCATAAAATATGCTCAAGGTTTGCCTTTAGCACTCAAAGTCTTGGGAGCATTTCTCGATGACAAAAGTGTACTTGTGTGGAAAGATGAGTTAAAGAAAATAGCGAGAAACCCGCACCTGGGAATCCAAAAAGTCCTTAGAACAAGCTTTGATGGACTAGATGATTTGCAGAAGGAAATATTTCTTGATATTGCATGTTTCTTTAAACAAATGAAGAAAGACTTGGCAACAAGGATTATGGAGGGTTGTGACTTCCATCCCCATACCGGATTAGACGTTCTAGTTGGTAGAGCTCTTGTCACTATCTCATCTGATGGTGTACTCGAGATGCATGATTTAATAGAGGAAATGGGTCACCAAATCGTACGCCAAGAATATATAAAAGAGCCTGGAGGGCGTAGTAGATTGTGGAGCTATGAAGATGTTCATTATGTGCTAAATAAAAAAAAGGTGAGAAATACGCTCCCCTCCATTCCATTAATGTAATTGCATTGAATCTTTTCTCTTCCAGTAATATTAGTAAATTTTAAAATAATAATAATAATAATACTTCCGGTACTGTTTTTACTTTTAACGAAAAACCATATTTTTATCTTTTCCTTGTACTATTCACTGCACCTTTATTTGACCTTTTTCATTAAAATAAAGTTTTTTTAGACTTTTTGTTAGTTTTCCTTAATAATAAAAGTATAAAGCTTCAACTTTGACCAAAATCCAATTCATGAGAACCATGTGCATTGGGCGTTATAATCTTGGTAATTTTGTACTCATTCAAAGTGCATTGGGCGTTTTCTTTAATAATAAAAGTATAAAGCTTCAACTTTGTACTCATTCAAAGTGCAATTTTGGTAATCCAGGCTACGGAAGCAGTTGAAAGCATAATTGTACGTTGGCCACACTCAGACAATGTGGTGGAATTAGATACTGCTTTTGTTAAAATGACAAAACTATGGCTACTCAGAGTCCATACACACAATACAAAACAACTAGGCATGCCCGATAATCAATGGCAATACAAGGATCTAAAGTTTCTGTCTGAAAAATTAAGTTATCTATTCTGGCACAAATGTCCCTTAAAGTCTTTATCGTCCAATTTTAACCCAGAGAATCTTGTTGACATTGACATGCAATATAGTTGGGTTGAACACCTCTGGAAAGGAACTAAGGTATGTGCATCATTTGCCTATATACTGCTTTTAAATGGTTTAGTTTTTAAATGCCTTATTATGTATGTAACACATATTTTCCTTGATGTATATTGACAGCCTCTTGGAAAGTTGAAAATTATCAATTTAAAAGGCTCTCATCGTCTTAAGGAAACACCGGACTTCGCTGAGGCAAAGAATCTTGAGAAGCTAATTCTTGGTGGATGCACAAGTTTATATGAGGTTCACCCATCCATTTCTGCCCTTGAAAAACTTGTCCTCTTGGATCTAAGTTGGTGCGGCAAACTCAAGTCCTTTTCAAGGAACATTTGTATGAAATCTCTTGAAACCTTTGATCTCTCTTTTTGCTCAAAACTTGAGAAGTTTCCAGAGATTTCTGAAGTTATGGAGAAGCTTTCAAAGCTTTATTTGCAAGGGACTGCAATAAAAGAACTGCCTCGATCAATTAACAATCTTACGGGGCTTGTTACTTTGAATCTTGAATATTGCAGAGAACTTGAGATTCTTCCAAGTAGCATTGTTCAACTCAAGTCCCTGCAACTTCTTAATCTTTCTGGTTGTCCAAAGCTCAAGGCCTTTCCAGAAAATGTCGGAAATATGGAAAGATTAAGAGAGCTTCGCTTGGATGAGACATCTGTTATAGGCCTTGCCCCATCAATTTCATCTCTTCAAAACCTTGAGATTTTGAGTCTAAAGCAATGCAAGAAACTTCATAGCCTTCCAAGGAGCATTCATATGAGAACTCTTCGAACCCTTAATCTTTCCAGCTGCTCTAATCTGTATAATTTTTCAGAAATTCCTGAAGGTATGAACCTATTAGAGCTTAATTTAGATGAGACTGCAATTTCAGAACTGCCCTCGTCCATCAAAAATTTTATGGGACTCGTTACCCTGAGCCTGAAGGATTGCAGAAGATTAAAGATTCTTCCAGACAGCATTCATATGAGATCTCTTCAAGCCCTGAATGTTTCTGGCTGCTCAAATCTGAGGAATTTTCCAGAGTTTCTAAAAGTTACGGAGAAACTAACAGAGCTTCATTTAGATTGGACTCTAGTCGCAGAAGTCTTTCCCGGCCGAGAAAATTTTAAGTTTTCAGGGATTGCAATTGAAGAATTGCCATCCATAATTTATAGTCTTACGGGACTTGCTACCTTGACGCTACGGTATAGCAAAGACTTTGAGAGTCTTACAAGCAGCATTTGTCAGCTCAAGTCCCTAAATTATCTCTCTCTTTCTGGTTGTAGAAAGTTTAAGGTGTTTCCAGACATATTAGAAAATATGGAAAGATTAGCCAGCCTTGATTTGGATAGCACATCTATCAGAGAGCTTCCTGCATCAATTGAACGGCTTCAGGGGCTAGTGTCGTTAAATCTGAAAAACTGCAAAAGCCTGGTCTATCTTCCAGACAGTATCTGCAATTTGTTAAGTCTCGAATGGCTCACTCTCCATGGCTGCTCAAAACTTTCGAAGTTGCCTGAAGATTTATGGTATTTGAAGCTCCTTGACATAAAGGGAACTGGTATACATGGTTACCGCCCAGAACAGCAATTCATCAATTTGGGGGGTTTGGCTCAGTTTCGAAACACTGCACCTAAGATTAATGCCATGGTCCCAAACATTGAGCAAAATGGGGCGGTGGCTGTGGAAGAGAGGCAGGATATTGCGGAGTCAAGCTATGTGGAAGAGATGTGGCGGCAGACGGAAGAGATGATGATAGCAGAGATGCGGCGGATGATGGAAAACATAAACATGCGGATGATGGAAAACATGCGGTCGATGGCAGAGATGCAGATGACGAAAGAGATGCGGTCGATGGCAGAGATGCGGCGGCAGATGAAAGAGATGCAGATGACGAAAGAGATGCGGTCGATGGCAGAGATGCGGCGGCAGATGAAAGAGATGCAGATGACGAAAGAGATGCGGTGGCGGCGGAAGATGGTAGAGATGTGGCTGCAGCAACGGCGGAAGATGGAAGAGATGATGGAAGAGATGCAGCGCTTCCAGCGGCAGATGGAAGAGATGAAGATGGAAGAGATGCAGCGGAAGATGGAAGAAGATGGAAGAGATGCAGCGGAAGATGGAAGAGATGATGAAGAACGCCCCGGCAGATGGAAGATGGAAGAAGATGGAAGGGATGCAGCGGAAGATGGAAGAGATGATGAAGAACGCCCCGGCAGATGGAAGAGATGATGATGGAAGGGATGCAGCGGAAGATGGAAGAGATGATGAAGAACGCCCCGGCAGATGGAAGAGATGATGATGGAAGGGATGCAGCGGAAGATGGAAGAAGATGGAAGAGCACCCCGGCAGATGGAAGAGATGGAGCGAGCCGATGTGGAAGAGATACTGGAAGAGATGCGGGCTGGGTTTTACCCGAAAAACCCTGGGTATTTGTTTTTAATGGGTAATCCTATTTAAACTCATTTGTTTTCATTTCCCCCACCAATGTGGGACTGCCAACAAATTTCTCATCACATTTTGACTGATTGTGAGGAGTCAAGCTGTTTGGAAGAGATGATGCAGCGACATTTGGAAGAGATCAGGCAGCGATGTTGATGTTTGGAAGAGATGAGGCAGCGACGTTTAGAGTTCCTTGAGGTAAATGTAGCATCTCTCTCTTTAAAAACGATAATTTCTCAGCACTTAGGGGTATTTGGATCAGTGTCAGAGCACTGCACCTTTGAGTGATATGGTGGACTCAAGCTACTGGGAAAAGGAGGCGGTGGCTGTTAAGGCAATTTTGAGTGATCTCAAGCAGTCAAGACATGAGGAAAAGAAGAAGGAGAAGGCGGTGGCAGCCTCAAGGAGAGGTGGGAGGATATGAGGTATCTGTGGGTCACAGGGTAATGGGGATTAAGGTATTTGGCGCATCATCACTGATACAGTAGTAAGACTAAGGGACCTGGGAGAGGGAAGAAATGCTGATTTTGTGTGGTAAGAGTTTGTGACTCTTTCGTGTTTTGAGTTGGTTTCTGCTTCTGAGAGCTCTTTTATTTAGTATTTTGCTTTTTCGAGTATTTCTTGCTTCACTTGCAGTTGGTACATGGTCACTATTTACTTATCCGTATGTATTGTAAAGTTGTTTTTTCTTTCTCTTCGATCAAGTAATGTATTGTTAGTGATTAAGCCTTGAATTGGAAATGGATGGTTGAGATTAAACTAGCTCATAGGCTAGGATTGTGCCAGTTGTCATAGTAGCTGACTTTGTTTTAGATATACTCGTGCAAGACACGTGAGTTTGAGAAGCGTGTGATGCATGTGAAGTTTGTGACGGTTTCTTCTTGTATTCTCTCTCAGCTTGCGTCCTCTTGTTCCGGGTCATGGGGCTGCAATGGGTGGTGATCTGGGCAATTAAAAGGGGCTAAGGAGTGTGATACCCAAAAAAAAAAATGTTGTGATAATCAGCTCCTTGATGTTTCTAGTAAATTTTAGGGACGACGTTGATTAATTTTCAACTTCAAAGACTAAAGTGACGAACAACATCACTTTCAAGGACCATTTGTGATAAAAATCCAAACTATCTCATACATGCATTTTTCACATCATTCATTACTATGTAGTATTGAAGCAAAATTGCTAAAAATTGCTTAAAAAAAAACAAATAATAATAGACCAATAGAAGGTGATCCTCCTAACATTCTTTTCACTGAAGAATTTCAAAACAAAAATCAATTTAATTTATTATTCAAATTTGCTACATGTAAATTGTAATCGTTAAAATGGCTCGACAATGAAAGCTTATAATTTGTTTGTTAACCAGAATTTGTGGGCGCCATAATCTAATCAACTCAAAGCTTTTCCCTTCCTTCTACCATAAACTATGTCCGTCAACAAATCCAATTGCTGTAGGAATCTACCATTAGTAAAAGCTTCCTGAAACTTTTAGAGGAAAAAGGCACTGTGTAAGCAGAAACCTACGCAATTCGGAAAAGCCGAGAACTCAATAATCCTAGACCCAAAACTATACCTCTAAACTATAAGCTGAGAATCAGAGCAACCATGACGATAAGTATGCGTGGCCTTGCAACAACACCAGCTGAGGTCGACCTGCAGGCATCATGAAGCTGAAGTCAGTATCGATACACGTAACCAAGTTCTTCGGTTTATATTACACCGGAACACATGAATGCTTTAAAACAATATGTAGTATTGATAGATTGAAACCTAGAAGCCACCACCAGTCCCAAATCCCTTGTAAATTTCATTTCTTTCTTTTTCCCATCAAGTTTTGTTATATGAACAAGCGTGAAGGGTTACCTTGTTACAAGCTCCTTTACTGACTCAGTTTCCAGTCCGAACCCAAACGGGAAAAGTGGATCATAGTGTGAATCACCAACATTCATTGGGAGTTGATCGACAGTTTTGAACCATGTTCTTGGAAGCTTTCCACTGAATCCATGATCCCCAAAAAGGACATCAGTAATGCCTTGGCCTTCAGAGCCTGGCAACCATGCTGCCACCAGAGCATCAATCGAGGAAATATATGGTTCTATTACAATAGGTCTGCCAGTTATTAAGATAACAATGCACTTGACACTTTCACACACATTGCTGATGACACTTGGGCCAGGTTCCACCATCGTTAGGTTTGGGCTGTCTCCTGCAGTCTCAGCATAAGGATGCTCGCCAACCACAACGATGGCATATGTAAAGTTGTTGGACTTTACAAAATTACCATCAGGATTCTCATTGTAGATAACTTCTGTGCTTGAGTCGACTGCTGATTTTATAGCACCAAGGATCGTAGTCCCTAATCATGAAAAGGAAGTTTTATGAAAAATACAGCCAAGATTAGATACATTTATGTACGCACGGGTATATATTTCCATACATTCTAATAACTGTGAAGACGATTTTCTTGTTGCAACTAACCAGCACCTGTGTAATCTTCTTATTAAGTGCTTAATGTTCTATTTTGTGGATATTCAATTCTATCATTTTATTGTAGAGCACAAAAGTAGTGCACATAGACAGAATATTATGTATTTAATACAGAGATGAAAGCAGACTATACCGGTTGTATAATTGTTGCCACTGAATCCTTGCCATGCAATTGTCCATCCACCACATTGGTAGCCCAGATTATCAGCATGACTGCCGGTGACTAGAATTTTAGACACCTTCTTGGGAAGAGGTATGACTGGATCTGTAATGTTCCCGCTTTTCCCATTCTTCAAAAGCACAACGGATTTTCTGACAGCCTCCCTTGCCAAATCTCTATGATCCTGGTAATGTTAAATTAAAATACAAAAATGATTGATTCATGTCAGTAAATCAATAAATACAAAGCTTACTAAGCAGTCTTTTGGCCATTGAATGTAACACCAATTTCAAAGGAATGTCCATTCTAATTTTAACGAACTACATACATCAATCAAATGACCAATAGGAGGGTTGCAAATCCTGATATTTGATTATCTCGGATAAACTGACCTGGCTTCCAAGCTCGTTGACTAGGCTGAAATCAGCCAACGGATTCTCAAAAAGACCCATGGTGAACTTGACAAGCAGAATCCTTCCCACAGCATCATCAATACGATCCATTGGGACAACGTTATTCTTGACCAGGTTAATGAGATCATTAATGAATTCTTTATAGTTGATAGGGACCATGACCTTCAAAACAAAGAGAACCATTTTCAGAGTTATATAATTTCGAACCAGAATAGAAAAGGAGTTTTATATAGGGCAACACAGACGCTATTATCTTCTTTCATTTCTGTAAGAGGTTTTGTATAAAATAAGCCACGAACCATGTCAATTCCAGCTAGAACTGCAGCTTGGACAGAGTATGTGTAGTTTGAATGTGGCAGCGAGGTAATCCTGTCAATACCCTCCCAGTCTGATATAACAAAACCCTGAATGTTCAACCAAAAACACCATCTGCTGTTAGCATGAAACAGTGCAGAACACAGATAAAGGTACAATAGAGTCACCAAAATGAAGCACCTCTTGTGAGACCGATAACAACCAGAACTCGAGATCAGTAATATTATTGAGTTATCAACTTATCACAAATACCTTAATTTCATATGGAATCTGAAATTTCAACTCATTAACACAGATGAAGCTTAAAGACGCTAAAATGTGGGAACTGATGCAAAACAGGATAAATCATATAACTGATGCGGTACCGATGTATGCTAGGCACTAATTTGCATCAGAAGTTTGTTTGAATGTATTATGATGGCTACAAAGACAATAATCTGTAATGGCAACATTATGGGCAGTCAAGAAACCACAACACAACAACTAAGCCTTATCCCACAAAGTGGGGTTTGCTGTATGAAATGGAGATGACGTTAGAGGGGAAAACGAGAAAGTATGTAAATGCAGCGGACCCATTTATAGACACTAAAAGTGGAAACATGGGAAAGTGAAGAATCATGCTAATCACTAAGCAATGTCCAAGAAAACCTGACCACATTAATGTGTAATGTGGAAGTAATTTGAATTTGATTAGATAATATTGGAGGTATTAAAACCCAACATGTGGGAAATACACAATGTTGAGAAAGGCAATGAAAACAGATAAGGCTGACAGCATTTGAAGAATAAGAAGAGATTGAGGGAAAGAACAGTTATAAAGCAGTCAACTAGTCACGATTAAGAGCATATATTTTGAAAATCTGTAATTTAAGCTATGAGATGTCAAGGAAGAGAAAACCACGCAAATAAAAGTACTGATAAATGCAATATGCAAAGGTTTTGGTGCCAGAAACCTTTCTTTGAATTCATGGAAAGATTTTAACACTAGGCATGCTGGTTTCGTGCTTACATCAAATCTCAGTACATAGATGAGACATGATTCCACTTTATACCTTTCTGTGCATGTGATTGTTGATAACTCCAGAAAACTGCAACAAGCTTGGATATTAAACAAAAATGAATAAAATGGTACCTTAAATTTAAGGGTGCCCTTGAGGAAGTCCATAATTAGATCACGGTTTGCATGCATCTTTTCCCCATTCCAACTGGAGTAGGAAATCATCACGGTTGAGACACCCTTGATGATGGAGTCAGAATAGGCAGGCATGTGGATGCTAAGCAATTCCTGTTGGTTAATCACAGTGTCGTACTCATTAATGCCCTTGCTCGTGCCACCATCACCAACGAAGTGCTTTGCACAAGCTGCAACCTTTTTACTAAAATATAATAAATAAATAAATATATATCAGGAATCACTTAAAGCTTGAGTATTTTAACATTAGTAAAGGAAATAAAAGATAAAAAGAACCACTAAATTCATTTGATTTATTAATTGAATCCATAACTAGAAAAACACGACGCGTGTTACCCAAATTATCTTCCCTAAACTCACAAAATCCAGTAAATTGAGATCATGAGCAATGGTTACAATACAAAGGATTGTATCTTTTAAATCAAAAGATGGAAAAATGAAAAGGGAATGAACAGAGAAAAATAAAAAAGGAAAGATAGAAGTATGCTTATTTTCATAAAATTCGTACTTTCCACCAACATATGGCGCTCCTTTCTGAGAATTTGCAGGGATATCTCCCTGTAAACCTGGAATAATCTCCGTCATTTCTTGCACAATTTTGTGATCTTCGCTGTAGCTTTCGTAACACCGGCCCCATCTTGGATCTCTACATACCTATATAGGATGTTCCAGGCAATGCACAGAAGTCATCAGATGGAGAAAATATGAATGCACTCAAAGGACATTGTTAAGCATGTAAAAGAAGAAAATGCTGAACGCATAAATCCTTTTGCAATGTATTATTTACCGCAATGCAAGGAGCAAATACATAAGGAATCCCTGTAGCTCGGGCTTCAAGAGCAGTTGCAGAACCAATTCTTCGTACCAGTTCAGGGTCCCTGTGTACTGGAAATATTTAATAGAAAGAAGACACATTCAATGAACTATAAAACTGAAAAACATCTAAAAGGATTTTGAAATGCATGGTTAGTTATTTTAATACTTGCTGAAGTATAATAGAGATTTACTTGTAAGGATTTGACCCTAATGGGACCTTGTCGTAGTTATAAAGTTACAGAGTGCTGCTTTTAAACGACGGTGATAGATCTCATCCTTTGTGTAAAAATAGAACAGTGCACTATCATGTTTTGAAATGAAGCAAATAGAATCTGAAACTTTTACTTGCCTGGTAGCTCCAAGCCCAACATTATGCGGAAATATTGTAGCATTGTAGACATTATTGTGTCCATGAACAGCATCAATGCCATAGATCATCGGAATGCCCAAACGACTAGATAGAGCTCCCTTCTGAAATCCATTAATCATGTTAACCCAGTCTTCAGCACTAGCTTCTGGAAGTGGTGCACTGCCACCACCGCTCAATACACTACCTGCCCAAATCAGAACACATCCTCACTCCATTGTCGTATCATCTCAGTGTATTCAATATTTTTCTCTTTACCGAAAGTCTTACTCCCTCCAAGGCAACAAAGAATGGGGGAAAAGGAGAACAATCTGAAGCCTTGTTAATTGAATACAGAAGAACCAATCTCATAGGAGGATATGTCCTTGCTGCCTCCAGAGTCAAAGTGATACTTCCTGTTTAGTTTGTACAAAGATAGAAATGCAACAAAAAAAGTAATGTGCGGTTTTTGGTGACACCAAGGCAGGATTCTAGACATATGCTTAGGGAAAATTGCACGGTAAGAATAAAATCCTAATAATGACATCTCAAACACCCTATGCACAGACATTATCGATGCAGAATAACCCCAATTCCAGGGTTTTTTTTTAACCAACTGCACCCCTTTGTTTTGCTACTTCAACCATTTTATCCGTATATATAAATTAAATCACTAGAGAACACCCCAACTCATGCGTAAGTTCCTTTCTTAATAAGATAAAATCCACAAGAAAGATATACAAGAATTGTGTTGTGCCATCATAAAAAGTCACTTAACGGCTTGCTTTGAAGATATAACAGGAATGAAATGCGGACAGTATGAGACAAACACTAGAAATCAATCAATTTATGTTGGTGTACATCAAACAAAGTTGAAGGTTGTATTGAAATAGATACATTACATACCAATGAAGTAAGTTTTCATAGCATCGATAGAGGCAACACTCCTATCAATCTGCACCATCTGACCAATCTTCTCTTCAAGAGTCATCCTGCTAAGAAGGTCCCCAACTCGAGCAGCCGCTGGTTGGGTTGGATCTTTGTACATGATGTAATCAGCCTTGACCGTAGCCAAACCCATCCACCACCAAACCAAAAACAAACCCACCACTGGTAACGAAACCCAAGCCATTGTAAATGGATCCTTTTTCACTCTGGTAAACCAAACACGAAGACCCGAATTACACACTGTCCATCATTTGTTCTAACCATCCGCTTGGTGGCTGAGAAAATGCAAGAAATAGAAAAAAGTATACAGAGAGTTTTTGTTCAAAGTCATTGTCCTGGTTGCGTAGGAAGACTATATTTTGAAAACCCATTAAATTATATATATTTTGTGTAACAACAAGCTGAATGGCCCCCAAAAACAATTATTTTCCAAATTTAAAATCCAAGTTGCAGATTTCCAATAGCTTATTATATATTCCCTTCTAGGAGATCATGTGGAACACCATCTATATCATGTGAACCAGCAAGATACAGCACCCACATAAATCCAATGATGTTCAACACAAAATAATAAATAAATAACCACCATCCTTAAAGTTTCATAATATTCTCAGAAGCTAAAGTAGAAAAATAATAATCCAGCATCAAAAATTAATTATATATAGTCAATGAAGAAGAAGAAGAAGAGCAGCATTGTGATGTAGAGAGAGAGAGGGAGAGAGAGAGAGATGTTACAGTTGAGTAGTGTTAATGCGACTGAGTCCAAGCTTGGATGAATGAATGAATGAAATGAAGATGAATGAATGAATGAAATGAAGCTGAAAATGCAATGATTTCTTGTACCTTTTTTATAGGCAGGAAGCAAGTAGCAAGTAGAAACTAGAACAAAAGGAGGAAGAAGAAGGAGATTAGGTTATAAGTTATGCTTATTAATTACTAATTAGAATATAATTATCGGGAAAGAAAGAGGAAGGAAGGAAGAGTCCTGACTCTTTTGGAATTGAAAATGTGTTATTTTATTTATTAATATAAAGGAAAGAAAAGAAGGTGGCTTTTGATTTGGTTGGTTCGTGCAGTTGTCACTTTGCCTTTGCGATGGGAACGTGTAGAGAATCTCCATAACGTGCCTTTTCGTAAATCACTCATGCAAACAAACCAGATTTACTCACCCTTAAATTCGTCAATCTGAGTTTGACACATTTAACGTTATTACTACGTTAGTTTGAGTTTAGTATATTGATATCATACTCATGAATTGTATATATTTTTAACTCACGAGTTCAATATATTGATATCATACTCAAATTTAACACACTTAATATTCAAATTTTTCGACACACTGTACAAGTATGATTCGTATAAGAGTCTAATATATTAATATCACACTCATTTTTTTTCGGCCTAGTATTAGCACTTGAATATGCTAATCTTTACCCTAGAAATATTCTCCATTGGAAGTTTGGAACAAACACAAATGAAGGAAATTAAGGATGATAAAACCCGAATTGGAGGGAAAGGGAAGGGAAGGGCAACCAACCAACTTTAGTTTAGTTTGCACGAGACGTTATACCTCATACAACACCATAGGAAAACTAACTCCTCAATCCCCCATTTATATATAAAATTGTCACGCAGGCCAACCAACATTTTCTACAGAAACCCAAAAGCGAGAGAGAGAGAGAGAGATGGTTATGCGACGTGGTCCAATTGGTGGAAGCTCTGGTACTAATACCCGACCAAGACAAACCAATCGTCCCACTTATGAAGATTTCCTGCCCCGCTTTGAATTGAAGGAAGAGCAGGAAGCTCACATAGTACTTGTTCATCTGCCTGGTCTCTTCCTCTTCTTTATACCTTTCTTCTTTACCCAACTCTACTTCATTTTGCACTCTCAATGGAAGCAAAAGCGCTTCTATTAAAAGCACGTCACAACTTTTACTAAAATTGCAAGTGCTTTTTTGGATCCAAAAACACTTTTCTACTTTTCTGCCAAACATGATCATATGAGCTTTTGATGATTTGAAAACACTTTTAGTTATTTTAAAAGTACTTTCAAACAAACCCAAACTCCTTGCGTTAAAATTAGTTAATGTTCTAAATTGTGTTGCAATTATATCAAAAATCTACAGAGAACGAGGGATACAACTAAATTGACCTAACCCACGTGTCGCAAAATATATGGTTTGTTTTCAGGTTTTGTGAAGGAGCAGGTGAGGATTACTATTGAGCATAACCCTAATGTGATTAGGGTTCATGGACAAAGACCTCTGGGCAACAACAAATCGAGCCGTTTCAACCAAACATTTCCGATTCAAGAAAATTGCGACGTAAGTAAAATTGATGCCAAATTTAACGATGGGATTCTTACCATCACAATACCAAAGCCAGTCATCACACAGACAGCAGCAACCAAACCAGTCCAAGAGCCACCACCGAAAACTGCTGCAACCGCTCCCAAGCCGATGCCACAGAAAGTTCAAGAGGACCCAATTCCTTCAAAGCCGAGTTTGACAACACCGGCCGCTGCTGCGTCAAAGGCAGAAAAGGCTACTTTCACTGCCAGAGATGAAAAAGAAAAGGATGACAAGAATGGTGGTCGTCCATTAGGCCCTCCGAAAGGCACTGCAGCCGAGACAAAATCACAAAAGGATAAGGAGGACGCGGCTCTGCCAATACCACTTTCATCGACCCAGAATTTCAAACAAAGGGATGAGAAGAGGCTGTTACCTTTGACTCGTCCGGAAACAGGCATCGGCATGCCCAAGTCTCAAGAGCATGGTCATGATGGAGAGAGGGGAAAGGCTTCTGTCGAGAGTGTGTCTCGAAAGCGGGTTGAAAACAGGGATCAGAGAGAAGCAGATGGGAAGCCTGATGCAGAACCGAAGAATGCTGAGAAACTTAACAAAATTACTCTACATAAGGAAACCGGTGAGAGAAGCAAAGAAGCAAGGGGTCTCGGTAAGCCTAAAGAGGACTCCGTGGCTGCAAATGTGATGGGTGGTGCAAAGCAGCATATGAAAAACCTCGGGAACGGGATGAGCGATGAAGAGAAGCAGATGTTGATCAATATGGGCGCGGCAGTTCTAGTTCTTCTGGCACTAGGGGCTTCTGCATCCTACAATATCTGGTCCTCTGCAACAGGCAAAAACTAAGCCCAGCATCCTTTCACATTCCATTACAAATCTGTTATTACAAAGTATACAAACATATGCACAAGTATTGCAGCTTTTACATCAATTTGTATAGGCATTAACCTTCGACACGTAAATATACCTTACAAACCAGTGTAATATATATATATATATATATATATATATATATATCCATCCTTGGAACATGAAAGCAATACATTGTCGCTGATGATAACTTATAGTAAGCTACAAATGACCAGTTCAGTCTGGGTATATCATCTCGGAATCAATCCATACCAAACAAACCATCAAGTTGTCGATCTCCATAGGAACCCAAAATTAGTACCACTGAAAATCAAAGAAATCTTGAAATTCTTGAAATATGCCATCAAAGAAATCTTGAAATTCTACACTAGAAACTTAAAGAGTTCATCGATCAGTTCAAATTTAATGACAGACCTGATGGGAAACAGAACATATATACAGAGACTTGATTCATAAATTTCAAATTAACCGACGAATTCTTTGATTTGTCATCAGTTGTAAACAAAAATCAACGCAGACATGATAGAGACGGTTATAATTACACGGACCCAGCTGAAAAGGCATCCAAAGATGGGGATCAAATTGGTCATTTTGACTAAACTAAGATTATACACTGCTTTGTCCAACATTACACATGATTTAATCATACAACATACCTAAAAATCATCCAAAGCTCCCCTTAAAGTGTCAACATAGCTCAAAACCTCAATCAAGTAATCCAATTCCAAATAGGATTTTGTCCACGGGGTGCTATGCAGGTGAAGATATAGGCATTTATGACATCTCTGGAAGAACAGTGATCATAAGCTTCGGGTAAATTAATCGCAGTGCCATTGATACATGTAATACTTCTTCGGTTGTTAGTCACTGCAAATATTTTGTTGTTGCCATGGGCACCCAAGTGTCAAGATGCAAGAGAATGGTCATCCCTAGCAGCATCAACCATTGTCATCTCTGCTGTATTTGAAACTGCGGAACATTAAAAAAAGTGAGACATCAATAGATCAAAGGTTTCTTTAGGGAGGTAAAGAAATAGTAAGTGCCAGCTGTACAGGAATTTATCCCACAAGGCCATCATTTATCTCTAATATGAAAACCTCCCCAAAGCAATTCAGAACAATCTTATAGAACCTCAAAGGCTTTACAGTTACAAGCGTACACATGAAGAATAACAAAGACATAACCAATTACCATTCAAATAACTCACAAGAAAATTAACACAGATGATAGATCCATACAGCAAGCAAGGGAATAAATTTCATACTTCTTAAAAGACAGAAAAAGTGATAAGTGGAGCAACACTGCTGTGAATGTAAAAAGTGATATATCACATGTCAAGCAAAATCCTAATTGACTACACATTTATGTTTAAGTTACAATGATCTACTAATAGATTTCAAGGGTTTCGTAACCTTCTAAGCCTGAAACTCCAACCCCTTCTCAGAAGGTTTCCGTTTTCTTTTCAAGCGTGTTGCTCCAGCATCCTCTGCAATAGACATATATAAGTTTGGATATGAGCCAATTGGTCCGACAAAACAGGTGCGAGAAAAATGTTATTTACAATCTGAGTACAAGGTCAATGTCTTATGAAATCATCACTATATCAGTCTATGTTGGGTGCCAGAATAAGATTAGTAATCAAGGGTTTCGAACTGAAGATCAAAATTTTGAGCTCATCCTTTAGGTATAATATAAAAGCAAGAAAACCAAACCTCACAGATTAAGCTTACTACTGGAGCTGTTAATATGATATTATGCAAAGGAAAAGGCGTAATGTTTTGTTATTACCCCCCATTGGTGTGTTGTGCACCAAAAAGACAGAAGAATATTGACCATCTATGCAAAGGAAAAGGCTTAATGTTTGTTATGGCATTGGCATATTAATTTTATGCCTGATAAACTGCTCTTTTTAAATTTTCAAAAAACGAATTTGCTCTTTTTTCTATCAAAATAGAAAATGAGAATGAGAGTTCTGGGGCTATTCCTTGTGAAATTGAAATTTAAGTCATAAAACCCATTCAAGGGCACACAAATACGCATCAAAGTAGCAATCTTACCTTCAAGTGGACTTGACGCATGATTAATTGCACGTCCATTTGGTGTGCCCTCTTCTGAAATAGGGGAGCCAGAATTACTATCCACCAGCTTTGATGAACTTTCTATGCACTTATCTTGCGGGTCCAGAACATCAGGAGAAGGAATTGCAGGTAAAAAACATAGCTCTTCCTGTGATATATCTGAATCACTGAAAGCTGAGTCCTTCTCCACTGTCACAATATCAACTTCATCATCTTCATTAATATCAGAGTCTTTTACCTGCATAAATTACTTTTTACTTTAGACACCAGAAAATGGACAAAAAAATAGCCCAGATTTCACTCTCTTCCTACCTTTTCAGTTTCAGGTATTAGATCAAACTCATCTTCTCGTTCTATGTATTCTTCGTTTTCCTCAAGCTCTTTGAAATCAGGAGCAAATGCACTCCAGTTCTCAGTGTAATCTTTGGCCCAGATATAAACCAAACCAGTCAGTGAAACAGAGACAACAATAGGGTGAACAGGATGCCAAACCAAATCGATCAAGGCTTCCTTTGGCCCTTCAAGAATTTTCACAAGATGTCCGGCCCTATCCCATATGTAAATCTTGTGTTCTCCTTTGCTTGCAGAACCACCAATCACCCACTCACCATCACCACTGAAACAAGGTGCTTTCCAGTGCATCTTTGTGATGGCATCTTGAAACTCACGGAAAAGTGTTAAGCATTTTGATCCAACAGCTTTCAACTTCTCAACACCATCAAGTCCATCAAGGGTCTCATTTATGTCATCCAGGGTTTTAAGTCCATCTTTCAAGGGCAGAAGGTTCTCGTAGATCCTGATTGTTCTATCATTTGAATTTGTAAGCAAATACTGTCCATTCCTGCTGAATACTATGTTCTTAATCACAGAAACTCCAGAAGTGGGAACCATGGCACGCACTTGAATACTTTTATAATCTATTACAAGTATTTCACCTTTGGAGTTCCCCGCATAAACCAGATCACCATACTTATTAAAGCAAGCAGCAGTAGGAGAGAAAGGTGGACTTCCCTCAGAGATTTTGTTCCGTGGTGGAGGGACAGTTCCTGGGTTAGAGTCAGGAATGGAAACTGGAAGAACAACTGTGCTTCCAGTATTCAAGTCAACAATTATGGGAGCAGATGAGAGGGGGCATGCCAGGCAGAGAGATGGAGAAGACGAACCAGGATGAAGACGAGCTTGTAAAGGGGTTTGTTGCAGTATCGTTCGCGTTATCTTCTCACCACTGACAACATCCCATAGTGTCAATGACTTGTCCGCAGCAGACACAAGAATGCGATGCCCATACTTTGACCAGCATACACTAGTTATTGCAGCAACACAATCTCTGTCACGAAGCTCCTTGGCAATTCCCCTGGTCTCAAAATCCCATACGATGCAATTTCCGTCAGAGCACCCAGCTGATCAAGAATATCAAACAAGTATCGCTCGTAAGAAGAAGACTCTTCAGAATATCTCCAGTAACATAAGGACACATCCAATGTCAATGATAGTATAAATGAACGCAAAAATCAAATTTCACCTAAACAATCAATATGACATGATTATCGTTACAGCTTGCTATAAACAACCTCACTTAATTCTTTGCAGATGCAACTCGACGATCAGCACATTGGTAAACTACCATATATGTGAACAAGGAGCCCAATTCTAGAAAAGCAAAAACGTAAAATCCTCAGTAACACCTCTGTCATAGGGCAAAGCATGAAGACAATAACAGAATTCCGACCAATTATAAAACTGAAGGTCTCCAATCTGACAAAACAACATAAAACGATACCTCCCAAAATGTTGCAATGCCAACACTGTCCTGGTAGGCCCTTTCGGGCATAAATTTAAGGCAATTTTCAACTTTCAGAAAATATAAACTCGTACAAGGCAATTAAGAAATGCTACGTTGAGCATAAATACGCGCCTTGAGCTTACGTGGCAACATTCACTGTTGAAACAGGTGTGCACTGAAAGTAATTCATGCCAAATGCTTGAACTTTAAATCAAAAGGACATTAATCCGCACCAAATCAAAAGGACATTACGTTGAGCATAAATACAATGTTACACATTGTATATCAAAAGGACAACTTAATGCGCACCAAATTTACAACTTTCCTTATGTTTTTCTTTTTTTTTTTCTTTTTTTTTTGCGTAAATTTATTCAGAAAAAAGCAATGGGGCAGAGAAAGGTGGAAAAATTACCAGCAAGAAGGGTGCCGCGGCGATTGAAGGCGATGCATTTCATAACGCCATACTCCAAATACTCCTCTATCACTTCTGGGAAATCCCCTTGCAATGGGTCTTCACACAATTAAGTAATTAATTAATTAATTGACTAATCATACATCTAAATTTTGGATTTTGTTGCCAAAAACCATCAAACTCAAAGAAAAGATAACAAAATCTTCAATTCTTCAATTAAAAGTGAACTATCAAGAGAGAGAGAGAGAGAGGGGTTTACCGATAATTGCAGCGTTCATCGCTATGTAGTTACAGAGTTACTTCTTAGAGAGAAACTCTGCAAAATGCTGCGTTTTGATGCGCAACCAGCAACGAGAGGAGGAGAAATTGAAAGAAATTCGTTTGAAAAAATTGAAATACAAACTTGAGCGCCTTCACTCCTCCTCTCTCTCTCCTGGAGAAGGAAGGAATAAGCTCTCTCCCTCTCTCTCTTTCTTCTTGTGTTAGTGTTGTCGTCTTCTGGAAAAGCCCAATACTACATGGAAAGGCCCACGCGCGGCTCTTTTATTCTCATCATACCCTATAATTTCCTCTTCACCAGCCCTAATTAGAATTTGAGGCCTCGTTTGGCTCATCGTATAAGACTATCGGATAGTATTAATAATACGAAATGGGTGTTTGGTGAGCTTCGTATTCAATAAGCACCGGATTATTTAATCCGGCCCCACTTATTTTATACCCCTCCCACCCGCTTACGAATCCCGTCCAAAACCTCTGTATTATTTAGTCAGGTGAGATTTCTCTTGCTCACTTCGTTCCTCTCTTGCATGACTCCTTCAACCATCTCACCTGCCTGCTCTCTCTCGTCTAGATCTCAAGTTCATCTTTGTCGTCTTCTTTTTTTCTTTCTGTTCCTCCCTCCTCCTTCACACACACACACCTCCCACCTCCTCCGTTCGCCTTCGATCTCTGACAGGACAACAATACTTTCGTGGGTTGAAGGAAGAAGATGATGATTCAAATTCTTCCGATCTAGGCTCCAACGAGAAGGACAAGGAGGAGGAAGGGAGCTGGGCTCCGACAAGGAAGGGAGCTAGGCTCCGATAATAAAATTTGGTTTATTAGCATTGAAAATATTTAATTTCTGGGATTTTTTTTTTTGGTTGGTGAATCGATATGGGTTTTGGGAGATTTGAAGAAATGAGGAAGTGGGTTCATATGGGAGGGTGGGAATTGATGCGTGGGGAAGATGGTGAAGATAGGAAGACATGATTGGGAAGTGGGAAGAGATCTGGGTTTTTTTTAATTTTAATTTTTTAATTTTTGTCTGTGTAATGATGTGTTTTTTTTTTTCCTCACCTGTTTTTCTTCCTTTTTTTTTCATTTTAACAACACTTATTTTGTGAAATTATTTAAAATAATTATTATAGTCCGACCTATTATCCGATGTATAAATTAATCCGATACAACACCAAACGCCCGATTAATTTAGTCAGTCCTATCCGACGACTATTTATCCTATCCGACTGAAATAGTCAGTACGGTCCGAGCTGCCAAACGATAAGATATAGAGAAGAGGTAACTAATCATAAAATAGAGAAAAATAATAAGCATACAGATCCTATAATATATCAAATTTGTTTTTATCGTACAACGATCGCTCGAATACTTGGATTAGTAACCACTTGAGTGACAATTGTACATGGTGATAAATTGAATTTTCTTATATTTTTTTTTTTCTTTCTTTCTTAATGTGAATCTTGCAATGGCACCATTGAAATATGTAATTCTAAATTCAGTATACGTTCATATTCTTTCTTTGCATACATCATAACATCAACATATAATCTGTCTGCATTCATAATCTACATCGCTTTGCCATCCAAAAATCTACAATCAACATCAGTAATTTGAAATTTGTAACCTACATCTGGCTTTGAGATCTGCATTTGGTATAGGCATCAAAATCACTCATTAGACACTAAACCCCATAGGCATCAAAATCAAAATTTCATTCCCTTTGTCATAATCCTAGTCATGAGCTAAAAATTTAAATTGAGATTGCCAACAATATTTTTTTTTTTTTGGGTCAAAGCCTACAATATTTATATATATTTAATATAATCATCATCAAATGGTTAATATAATTCATCTAAGAGTAATGTTAGGAAACTAAATATATGTATTTAATACAGTCATAATCTTACCGTCAATATGATATTGTATTTAATACATGTAAATATTGTAACCAAATCTTTTTCCTTTTAGTTCAAATCTTCTTCACTCAAAACCATCTGTGAATGCTTATTATTGGATGCCCATCTTGCAAATGTTTTGATTTATCTAGTTTTCAGTGAAATCGCAAAACCCTTGCCAACTGACTCTTCCCTCGCCTGGCAGATAATAAAAATAAAAAAGGTGGTCGACGTCAGGCTGACATCAAATCTACCATTCAATGGGCTAGGCAATTCAAGCCTAGATTGTATGTCGAACTGCCTCGGAGCCCAGTTAATTGGGACGGGCTAGAGTGGTTTTGGGGAGGGGGGATTGGATTGCCCAATAGCATAGGCTTTTTTTGTTTTGTTTTGTTTTTTTTTTTTTTTGTCAAAGGAATAGATTTTGTTAGATTAGATGTTTGATTAGCCACTAACGGATTCAAACCCACACCGTCATACAAGTTGGTCTTTTCATCTTCTTCACTATTCAGAAGATTTTCTTTTCTTTTTTTGGTCTGAAAAGATAAATGCATTAATCCAATAGTAGGTTACAGGTCAACTCAAAGGAAGGCAAAATAACCCAAATACATTGGGGGAAACCAGATACATAAAAACCCAGCCCAATTAAATAAACTAAAACGAGAACCCAAATCCTTAATTTTCGACCGCAGAAAGTAGTGTCCTCCGCTATCACCGCCACGACAGTCTCACTAATAGCTACCGAAACGACAACACTAGAGAAAACAACCGAGTGGAGAAAATGAACAAGACATCACAACACAAAAGTACCAAACCCGCAACAAGTAGCACACCACATCCAGATTGCTTCACCAACATATAATCAAAAGATAGTCACCAGATCCAAATCTCATTCACGAATCCCAGCAAATATATACAAATACAGTAACACATGGATAGAAGGTGAGGCTAAGGGGTATGTAAAATACCCTTACTTTGCCCGAAGCCATAGTATACTTGCCCTCGATGGAAATCCGGCAAGCCGTTTTGGGGGGGAGGACAGTGAGGGAGGGAAATAAAGCTGGCAACCATATTAGGCCCAGAGTCTGCATATCAGAGCAAAGGATGGGGTGGGGATGGTTTATGGGGAAGGGAGGCAAAGGGAAAAAGTGAGGGGAGATGGAATTTTGGGTTTGGAAAAGAACGGCCAGAGGAGAGGGAGGAGGGGTGGAGAGGAGGGACACGAAATCCAAAAGTGAGACAAACTCACGGGAAAATTTGAGACAAAACTCAAGGAAACTGAGAAAAATCTCAAGGGAAAATTGAAAAAGAGAGAAAAGGATTAGGAGAAAGAGGGAAAGAGGAGAACAAGGAACTTGGACAAGGATAAGCCAAAATCTGGGGCTGGCGACAAAGGAGTTTGTAAGGTTGAGAAATCAGAGAGAGAGTCTCACACGTTTTCTGCTGCCCTGTATGAGATCCTAAAGATTTTCTTTGACTTGGATTCTTGTTAGTCCTACAGTAATTTTGACATTATCAATTACTTGTAACAGGCAATTCATGCTATCGACAGTGGGATCAATCGACACGATGCGGATCAGCCTCCATGATATGTGAATAACACACTTATCTTCAAGGGTCCGCAAGTTGACTTTGGATTGGATAGATCTTGATCACTCGTCTGAAAAGTAGAACAAAGCCTTTCAACGAGCTATGGAATTGGCAGGCGGTGAGTTTTTAAGTCTACGTTATATATAATTACGTAGATGACCATGGTATTACAATAACAAGGTTGCCCCTTACACTGTGAATGTCATATTACACTGTTAAGATACATAAATGACGTTGGTATTACTATAACCAAATTACTCTTTATGGTGTGAATGTCATATTATAAGGTAAAATTGTTATACTTGGATGGATTGCATTGTAGTACTAACGTAAAGTTCAATTTAAATTATACTGCCAGCCTCTCTTCACTCGGTCTCGATGCTCGGTCGACAGCGGAGGCAGATTCAAAGGTCGAATCCATCTTACAACATCTCTTCCTCTGAAAACTCTAATCCGATCCGGAATTTTGGGAACAAAAATTGGAAACAAGGAAAATTGCAAACCTTATTTCCGATTTGATCCGTCTGAAAATCGCCCCTAGCCCAAACCAAGGCATTTGGACCAGCAACACTGCACTAGCAGAATCCAACTCAAAGTGCCCTGCAGAACCAGTACAACAACAACAACAACAAAACATTTTCCCACCAAATGGAGTCGACTATATGAATCTTAAAACGTCATTGCGCTCGGCTCTCCATAACCAGTATACCAAAGAAATTTGTACACTAAATTTACTGGGCAAGAAAGAGGTTATCAACTAATAACAGTATCCTACATAATCCACAGCTATTCTCCACTAATTCTTTCTCCCTTCACATAAGAAAACAGAACCTAAACTGTCATATTCACTTCACAGATCTCCTAACCGCCTACCGGCTACAAAGAACTAAAAAATATTTAGAACTTTACAAATTGGACTGTTCATAGAAGGCAATTTCTCTATATACAGAGTATGCAGCACGAGATTGTAATCATCTTTACATCGGATAGCCAAAATCTTGGTACCCCGACAAATCCCCCTGATCAGGCAAATGACTCTGTTGGGTCAAATGTTGCAATGGAGACTGATGAGCCGGAACTGCAGGTGGAGGAATCCAGTTGCGATCAGCAGGCACAGATACTGAGTTGCTCTCTACAGTGGTTATGTCGTGAATGCTTGATCTTTTCCTTTCCTTTTTCATTGAGGTTTGACGAAGGAAATACTTCTGGGCGTGGCTTGCTACTTGGGTTGGTGTTCTTGTCACAACCACATTCCTTGAAATGCTCCTCCAGTCGCCCTTACCAAACTTTTTTAGTCCAATTAGAAATAACCTGTTCAGAGTACATAAAGAAAATCAGGCTCTTGAACAGTAGAATCGAGCTATCAGGTTGGTATTAGTATTACTATTTCCTAACACAACCACATCGTATTTAAATCTGATGTAGGGACGTAAAAACAATAAATGAATAGATTTCATGATAACACAACCACGATTGTCAGTATGCCTGCCGTATCAATGAACTAAATAAAAATATTAGAAAACTTGAACAACAGCTTAACAATTTCTACTCAATTGTCACTTTGAGATGAAAATTAAATTGAAACTTATTTGTGTCTTAAAACAATTCAAGCGTTAATTATGTAACTATGCAATATATTCTGGAAAAGTAGAACATAGCTTAGACATTCAATAGCTTGTAAAAAATAAGAATTTCAATTACTTAAAAGCCCCAAGTTAAGAAATTAACGGCCTTCGGAAAACCACTAACTCTCTTTAATGAAAATGGGATGTCCATGATATGTTTTTAGACACAATACAGAACATCTATTTAACCCTTTATTCCAAATTTAGCAACAAAATAACATTCTAATTTAGAACATATGCAACATCCAAACTCCTAAATCGAAAAAAGAAGGTGAAATTCCCGGTTCAGCTGGCAAGAAAGTTTTCATGACATCATCAAACACTTAATGGTGAACATAAATATAGAATCTAGCACATTCCAACTAGCTCCAGTTGGTAGCAAAACAAAATGGAGGACAAGGTGATGAACCAACATTTTGAACGTTAAAACATTAATTATTTGGAGCACTTAAAATAAATATACACATGTAACTATAAAAAGTAAATTACAACCCAATGTATCCAATCAAATCCCCAAAGGACGGAAATTGGCTGGCTGAAACGATCAACTTACAAATTCCAATTGGCGAAATGCTCAGTATTTGATCAATATTTGATAAATATGAATGACATATTTGGCCAAATACCAAAAAGTGATCACTTCAGCCAATTTCCCCGAAAACAAAAAGGGTGTGGATAATGAAATCAGAAACAAATGTTTTCTAGAATCAAATAACCAATTAATTAAACTAAATTTTTCTCTCAATCAATTTCTTACCAGTTAAAAACAAAGTTTGAAAAATTAAAGAAATACGAAAAAATGATACGGAGAGAGAAAGAAATTACTTGTGTTCTTCTTCAGTCCAAGGCGTTCCCTTCTTCCTCTCAGGCTCGCGGTTGGACCCAAAAGTGATCTGACTGGCCGTGTCCTCCCAGCCGACCATAGACTCATCAGCATAACTAGGCAAATTGACCCGGCCGGAATCAATTTCCAAGACATCGTGCACCAAGTCCTCGTAGTGCTCCAACACCTCCTTGGGAGTCTTGCCCGGCAACTCTCCGGCGATCCTCTCCCACCGATCGGGCAAGTCCTCCTGGAACCTGACCAGCGCCTGCTCAAACACCTTGTCCTCAAGCCGAGTCCACGGAGTCGACGCCGCCGACTGAACCACGCTCGACCAACACGGCGCCGTTTCTTGAAACATTTGCGGGTTTGGGTTGAGTTCTGTTTTGTCTTGGTTTCTTGGATATTTCGCGTAATTTGGGTTTGGTGGGAGATTTGGAGAGTTTGTGGGTTTTATAGAGGACGGACCGACGGAGAGAGGTTTTTATTTTATTATTTTTTTAATAATAATTTTGGTGCTGCCAGCTCAGACTTCTAAATCAACACGTTTTTTCTATTATTTTGGTTTTTATTTTACTATTTGTTTTATGTCGTTTTGTAAAATCGAGTGACAAATGTACGCGCCTATTTTCTGCTTCTTTTACTTTCTTTTTTTTTCTGAGTTTTTTTTTTTTTTTTCTCACTACATCGATATTTTTATATTTAGAAGAACGAGAATTTGACTAAACTACACGATGGATAACATATGTATTGTAGTTTCTCATCTTGTTATTTTTAAATTTAGTAAAAAAAACATAAATTAAAAATGAATTATCTCTCTTCCTCTCTCTCTCTCTCCTCTTTCGTCCCCATCTCTCTCACACGCACTATTGTATGGGGACGATATGGAGATGGCCGAAGTGGCGTCGGTTTTGGTGAATTCTGGCGGTGGTGTAGGGTTGGGTGGGATGTGATGGTGGTGGTGTGTAGGGCCGTCCAGGTGCAAACGGAAGTCTTAGACGAAGATGCAACTTAACCTTCCTAATTTGATACCTTAATATAATTGTTTTTAATAAGCTGGTGCTATTCGACAACCATCTAATCCAATCTATCAAGCATCTAATCCAATCCAACAACCATCTTCCACGACAATATGAATTTAAGGTTCATTAGACAAGTGTTCGGTGAATAAGTGATTTTCTTTTTTTGTCGAGTATACGGTAAATGACTTCATTTAAAATATATGTAAAATAAGGGTATTTATTGCGTTGTTATAACTCGTTTTTAATTTTCTTGTATTTTATTTCTTGAAGTTGTGAAATTACAAAAATGCAGTGGAAATCTGAAACAAAAAAAATAAAAACGTAAAATATCCATCCTACTCAAGATGGAAATATTCTTACCTTTACTGCACTCCAAAACAAAACAAAAAAACGTAGTTGGATCTCTCTATCATTATCCTTAAAAAATAATTCTTTGAAGACTAAAACGTAGCATATTTAGCCTCATGACTAGAGAACCTAAAGACTGGGTGGTAATTGGACTAACTTTTTTCTTTGGTTGATAAACTATCCCAACGGATAGACAATTAAGTAGGCCAATAAGATATCGACCATGTAAATCAAGCACATTGTCGACAAAATTGTTCAACCAAATCACAAGGATTAGTACTTTAGGCTGAATGATGCTTTTGTGGGAATATTAGATAGTAAACAACGATTATTCACGATTATCGGGTTAGAATGAGAATCATATTGAAATCTATGAGATGTTTAAGTCATTCCTCTTCGAGGTGTGGAGATCAAAGATTCAAAAATCGAAGTTACACTCAATGAGAATGGTAATCTAACTGAGCCCACTTGGAGAGTTCCTAGGTCACAGAAGCAATTGTCCCTTGTTTGATAATTAACACTTCTTGGAATGCAACCCATGGTTACTATGACACGACGGTGTGCACAGTTCTTTTGAAATAGTCCTAGTTACTTAAAGGGAGTTTTTCTTGACCTTATCTATGCTTGTTTATGTTATTTTATGATGCATTGCACGATTTGCTAAAAAATTAAATTAATTAAGACGAGAAACCTTGCAAACAACCATTACCAATACAATCAATCATAAAAGCAGAAGTAGCCCGTAAAGGAAGGGTCCTATCCCAAATATGCATATTAGAGAGACATTAGTCACTGCATCAGCTACAAAGCTTGTTTCACGATAAATATGCTTCCAAGTCACACAATGAAAGGAGAAAACCCCTTCTGTTTTGCAATCTTAAGTGCATCTTTGAGCACCAACGCTTCAGCCACGGTTATAGTACGTACACCTAATGGTCTGGCTCCAGCACTGATAGGGCAACCATTTCACTTCGAATCACAAAACCGAGAGCATAACTGCTTCCCGCAACCGAGCCATCAAAGTTAATTTTTACAAACGTCGAATCAGGCGGGTGCCACAGATCCTTTCCTTTTTTCTTTCTTGGTCTGCAGTTATCCTTGAAAAATCCATCACAATAGCAGTAGCTAAAGCATGAACTTTAGCTGGGCGAGGCTTTGCATTTTTGAAGGTTGCATTATTTCTTTCCCATCTGTCGGATCCTTCCAGAACACAATATTATGGATGCCCAGATATTTACCTTGTAGTTTTATGCTGTATCGGTAGGATGTTTACAATGTCACTCGTAGTCTGATTAAAAGTATTATTTGAGAAATAAGATGAGGATGTGTGGAAATTTACCTTTTGACCAGAAGCACTTGCAAAGTCATTCAGCACCTCAACGATAGATCTTCCAGCCGCTTTAGCAAAAATGAGGTTTATGCATGTAATACTATTTGAATTACATTAATGACTTTATTAATAGTTGCATGGCACAAGGATGGGAGGAAGAGAAACGCAGTTTAAAATCCTGCACAAAATCCTTCACTCTCATCTTTGATTTTGAGGATCTCATTCATTTTCCTTATAGGGGCAAAAGTTCAGAGAAAAAAAAGGTGAAAATAAAAACTAAAGACGAAATAATTATCAAACGGTCTCTAAATATTTCAAAACTCCTACGAGACTTGATTTTTACTCTCTAATATGGTCTTAACAAATCGATTTTCGTTGTTTAATTTGTTCATTCTTTTGTTATTTTCGCTTACATTACCATGCTCGAAATCTTAAATGCACATAACCATAGTACAAACTTGACGTAGAGAAGAATTACATGCACATAACAATCCTTGTACGTCACAGCCCTAGTTAATGATAGGTGTTTCAATGTACCTAAAACACAAGATGGCATACTATGTATCATAATACAAGCGGAAGAACATTAAGAATATTCCCTACAGTGTGACATGTCAACCTTGTGTTCTGAGTACAGATTAGGGTTCAGAAAGAATGAAAGGCACGTAAGAAGTACATAGAGAAGCAAATTGATGGATCCCTATGTCATTAAAAACTTCGGGAGTTCTGGGAGGAAAAACTCAAGCAAGCAAATTTGGAGTTTCAAAACAATAACCATACCCAGACCTGTCAATGGATCGGATCTTTTTGATCCAAATACGATGTAATTAATAGAATATTGATCGAAACTTTCAATTTGATGATAAAATCCAAATCCGATGGATCCCATCGGTTTACAGGTCTACCTATGACAAAAAAATAAGGGGAAAAAAATACACACAAAATACAACTACGATTCCTGATTATCGGTGTTTCAAATAAGTAGCAACAATGCTGGATAGCAAGTAGATACGTATCAATTTTCGAAGAAAAGATCGTGAAGGGGGTAGTCAGGAGTATGAAAGTCAGAAGCCATTCAAGATAGATTTGGACCGAAGTTAATGAAAAGTGCAAAGGCTTCACACAAGATGAAGGCGTTCTCCATGCTATGAGTTCCAAAATATACACAAGAATGGTAGACAGCAGAAATCCACTTTAAAACCATCAAATCTAGGGTTCTACACAAAGCATAAACTTTAAGCACTACACCAACGTAATTGTAAAATGTTTAGATAAAATTTCGCCAAAAAATAAAAGCTAAGAATTCCCATATTCCTGAATAACAAACCTTAAATAGGTCCATGATAACATTTACTTCATGTCGACACATTAGTACCAGGCAAGCTTCAAACGATCTTTGTCTTCAGATATCTGAAACTTTTATGGACAGGCTCCGAGAGGCAGGACCACGCTACTAGAGGCAGCGTAAACCTGTCTTTGGAACTTCGAATTTACTCATTGCTTTTATAAGGCATCTGCAACAAAAACAAAATAATGAATAAACTTATACCGCACAGGATATGATCTAAAAACTGGATGAGCCAATGCGACTGGGTTCACTTGGAACCAATCAACCATCGAGTCTGGTTTAACCTTAGGCTCGGTTTGGGTTAGGGACTTTCCTTTTTCTTTTTTTGGTCAAAGGTAAGGAATTTCCAAGTCCCAAGGGAATTTCGAACTTGGGACTTGGAGTGACACCAAGTTTTCAAGAAATGAACCGGATAGAGGCGATTATGAATGCCCTCTCACGTCTTTGTAATGCTCATGGAGGGCATTCATAATCACCTCTATCTAACAGTTTGTGGTTTATTTCTTAATAACTTGGTCTCAATCCACTGGGACTTAAAAATTAAAGTCCGTAGACTGTAATAGACTGGAACTGAAGAAGCACTGCATTTCGCCTAAATTGGTCAATCGGAAACGGTTATAATCTACATCATTTTCCACAATCCATATTTGTGGTATTCTGACCTCTTTATTTCATGTTTTCACTAATAAAAAGGACTTCACCCTTCAGTCCATATTTGTGGTATTCTGACCTCTTTCTTAACTTCTTAGATAATAAAATATGCCGAGAGCTTGTAACTCAAGTGGTTAACAGTATTCATGTGAGATCCCGTATTTTTAAATGTGTACTTTCTGTAAAAAGATATTATTGTACATGGTTTCTTCAATTTATTTTATGTATATTATTAGTTTGTTGTTGTGGTTTGTTTACAATTTATAATCACTAGGTTTTCAAGCATGCATTTTGAAAGCTGTAGACTGCAATTGAAATCTTAGTGGTGTCAGTTAATGGGATAGTTTCGTTTTAGTTTAAAGCACGCGGCAACTTGCTTTTGTAGGTGTCAATTTCTACTTCGTTGACTCATTACTTCAAGATCAGACCATATTTTTATCTATCCATTCGTTTATACTTGCTTCGTAGCCCTTAAGTCTTTTAACCGCCCATTTCCACTATAAAAGGACTTGCATTCATTCATTTATTCAACTCCACTAGAAACGTAGGTTGGCTGCTGCAATGCATGCATCTTCCAGGTTATGTATATGAATGTATGTAAATGTATATGTTTATATATACAGAAAAGAGAGTGAGGGAAAACGAAAGAAAGAGAAAGAGTTTAGGTTAGTGGGCTAGAGGGTTCGATGTGTGGAGATTGTTTGTGGACTAGCTATCGATCAGGGTGAGCGGTTTAAGTAATGTGTTCCAAATATTCTTATTTTTCAGATAACATGAAAACCATGAGTTGTCACGGGATTTATTCTATTTCTAAATCTCGATCTATTTTCATGTCAAGCATGTTTGATTTCATGTAATCGATTTCGACGTGTGTACATATACATTCCATGTGCAATCGTGTCAAGCATGTTTGATTTCATGTAATCGATTTCGACGTGTGTATATATACATTCCATGTGCAATTGTTTGAGATGTTCATGAAGCATGAGAACTGTATTGTTTGGTTATCCGATAGATAAATGTATGGCACCCGGGTAAATTAGGGCAAAATGGCCAATGTAGGGGTCATGTGGTGAGCTACATATCATGAAGGATAACCAAAATGTGAAGGGACGGTATGATATGGCACTATGTATAATGATTCGATTATTATTATCATATATTTTAGTGTGGGTAAAACAGCATGCTTGACTGCATATTACATATCCTACTCACTCGGCAACGGTGGTTGTTGCTCACCCGTCACTGTTTTATATTTACAGATGAGTTATTTGGCAAGGCAAGGTGCTAGACATGCTGAGGTTGAGTTAGACAAGGAATTTAAGAGTTTTTTTTTTATTATTTTGTACACCTTGTAAGGTTTATCGGATTTTTTTGAATAAGAGAAGTTTTGTCTTTGTTTTTATTTTTAAAATTTTTTTACTCACGCACCGGTCGCGGGTTATTCATTCACCAACTTCGGATCCGGGACGTGACAATTCACCCTTTGCACCTGAGCTCTATGCTCAATACCATGTCCTTATAACAAACTAATATAAAATGTGCATAACAATGTCCAGAGCCTAAGTTTGTACCGAATCTCGATTGGTAATCTATGCTTCATTTAAAATTAAAAAGTCAAAATATAGTTCAATAATCATACAAGTTAAGTTTGTATATGATATCTACTCAATATCATGTATTTTCATAATCATATTTTATAATACAATTTAATACAAAAGGAACACCTGTAAAACTGTATATAGACTTATTTCCAACCCACAATTTTGGATAAAGAATAGAATGGCTAAAGAACAAACTACAAGCTAAATCATTCAATTGCATTATCGTTCTTTAGTAAATTAATTTCATCCTTTTAATGTACTAAATAAATCCATGTTGAAACTGATGAAGGTCAATGTGACCCAATTACTCCAAAAAAAGTAAAATTGTACCTTACATTGAAGTTCTGTAATCGTAGACCTCAACAAAGTATCTCCAACAACCAACCTCAACTTCTTCACAAATTCATCACGAGTTATCTTTTTTACCTGAAAAGATATTATCATAATCAGACACAGAAGTGTCTAGATATTTCGAGGCTAAAAAGTTCAAACAAAAAAAGGGAGAAGGGAAAATAACGATATTAATCATACCCTGAATAAGTCGTAATGAACATTAACTTGTTTCATAACTTCAGGAGGAACTTTATTTTCAATAGCAGAAAATAACATGGGGAAAGGCATCCAAGGCGATTTAGGGGCTCTTTGAGGAGCAGAACCAGTAGTAGTGCTTTCCCCCTGAAATCCCCCAGGCTTTGAAACCACTTGAATATTGTTTCCATGAGATTTCCCAGAATCAGAAAGTGGCTGAGTCTCGCTCCCCTATTAGGAATAAAAAAAAAGAAAAAAATGCTAATCGCTGAGCACCATGGTCTACTAGTACTCCACAGTCAATAAAGGAAAGGCAAAAAAATAGCAAGAAAACTTCTGTTGCAATACAAAATATTCTCGAAGTAAAAATGTGAGACTAAGACCCAAAATAATGCAAGCTGTACTCTCCACTGAAGGGGAATTTTACTCAGTGCAAGACATAGAAAGCCTACCAAACTTCTCCGGGACTTCAGTTCAATAAATCAAACAGCTCGAAAATAAGATGTAAGCCTCAATATGGATGAGGACTTATATGTCAAACTAAGCTCATCAAAATAAAATTTTCAGGAGGCAGCCACTTGGATTGGATGAACATGTAACTCACGTCAAGCATTCTACTATGAGGAATAGATGTAAGATTTAGTAATAAAGCAAGTAATCAGGTAAAGTTACAAGCATCCCATGTTACAGCCAAGAACAACCATAAAAAATATATGAAAGTTTGGCACGCACTGTATCAACTGCAGACGAGCCCTGTGGTCCTTGGCAGGATGTTGCAACCCCGGATGCACCAAGTTTATTCTCAGTTCCAATCAGATGCCCTGTAAAAAACGTCAAGAGCCAGTTCTCAAGTACTCCAAAAAAAAAGTCCCATATAATGAAAACACGTTACTGATACAGCATTTTCTGAAGATACAGCCAGCTGTCTCAGTGAATCAGAAGTTGGAGAGGTAATTCATCATTCATCTCTTGGATTTGGTGAAACATCCCAACCATTGATGTCTATGGCCAATGGATGAAGCCTATTTGCTTAAAATAACTTCCAAACATTTTCCATCCAAACTGTAACAGCTACTGAACAGTGTATTTCAGAGCCATAGAACTATTAAAATACAGTAAGTATGGACACATAGGTTCTTATTACAGGTTAGCAAAAGAAAATAATTGAAACGAACTGGAAGATTTAAGGATTAGAGCATCACCTTCAGCATTGGATATGATCTTGAAACTAACAACAAATTCTGGATATATGTGTGTATTCATGTTCATATTCCAGACAATATAATGTTTTGGATCCTCAAGACCATCCACTCCACTATCAAAGTCTTTGCTACTGGGATGGAATTGTGTACTTCCAGGGTGAAGTAACTCCATATTTCCCATTATGACACGACAGAATAACATGTGTCGTATCCCATTTTCGTCAACATCACAAGAATTTGCACTGTGAACAAATGAAAAGTTTATTCCACCTCTAATGAGCATACTAACAAAAAGTAACCATATGTAAAACAACTGCAAGAGCATAAGTCAAATTATCAGAAAAGATACCCTTAATAACCAATACCAATACCTTCTCATGGCAAAGGAAGCCAGCAGTAACATATAACCATAATAAAATAGAAGCAACCAACAATTACCTTAGTACACTTTTACCAATGAAGGTAGTGAACAAAAACAAATTAATAAATGCCTGCTATAGCATTGTCACTCAAAATAGCCACTTTCCAATCTAGCGGGTAATAAACAGCTGCAGGTCACAGAGGACGTGCCATATGGAATAACTAGGCCTAACAAGACACTAGGTGCAGGACAATAACATACCACCTCCATACTTCACAGTAATCATGTCTAGCCCTTAATACTATCCGTCAACTGTGCCGACAATGTTATTTAGGAAACCCTAAACCATTACTTCATCCTTTCCCCATGCAAGAAACCATTTTTATCAATGGCGGAAGTAGCAACCCAACCCAGGAATACTAACTCTTTTCAAACATCTCATCATTCATATGAACAGTATGAACATAATTCTCACACAGAAAACATAAATATTAAACAAACAAACACTAACCAGGTGTTAGAGAAGCTCGCTTCTGTGAGATGAACACCAGTGCCATATATGGACTTGTTCGTGGCTAGTCCAGAATGACCAAGCCCATACATCATTATAGTTGAAAGCTCTCCTTTAGAAGAAGCAAGCCAAGCATATCGTATATTTGCATCCACCGCGAAACATTTTTGTAATTTCTACCTGCTTCTGAAAAAGTTCCAAACGAGCTTGCATCAGAGTACTTGAGCACTGGTATATATCAAGTACTTCTACAACATCAAAGCTGCTCATTCCTTTAAGGAATATCTTATGAACAGTATCCCGATCCAACTTCTCCTTTTCAATCTCAGTTGCTCTAGCTAAATTCTTTGTCATTGATTCATTGTCTTCAGAATACTCATCAACGTTTAGACCATGTTTCCTGTTGCAACTATTCTCAACTTCCGTACCATCACCATGGCTGGCAGGAATTTGATCAACCTGAATTTTCTTTACAAAGCCATTCGACTCCCCACTACATTCATTCAACCCAGATTGACCCATACCATTTATTTCAATTTCCAGGTGCAGTCTTATTTCACGTGACCCACAATGCTCTTCAGCCCAGGGTTCCAAATCTTTGCCACCTTGAGGTGAGCAGTACCAATTTGGTTCATCGTCATCCTCATCGTAAATTTCTGGAAAGAAACAACTACCAGCTTCATCAATCCAAGCAATATGTTGCTTTAGACCAGTTTTCAAGTTCAATCGGAACATATGCAAAAAATCTAGCAAATAATGTTCACCATGTGATTTGATGTTCACAGTTTCCTTCTTGACCTGTAGATCTTTCATAACCAAGTCAACAAGATCTTGAGGAAAATCAGTCCATCCACCACTCTGATAAAACATTAGGCGCTGTGGCACACCGCTTCTTGAAAAATTTGAATAAGATGCAAGTAAGGATCGTCGAGATCCAGGGCTCATAAGCTTGCTTTTGCTTCCATGTAATTTCCTTCGCTTGGCAAGCTTATTCAAGCTCGGCCTCTGAGATACTCTGTGGGTAGCCCCAGGAAAATTTGCAGCATACCGCGTTGCCCGCTTTCTCTTTGAATCGAGCTTAACACTTGGACCACTATCCAATACCTTTGCGATCTTTGTCTCCATTTCCGTCTGCTAGACCGATATCTATCAGCAAGTATGAATCCAAAAGTTCGAATTCAAAATTAAGATAGAACTCTAGCTCCCATCATTCTCAGAAGATGAGCCATCGAAGATATTTTTCAAATCCTTCCTGGGTGGGGAAAAATATGAATCATATATGAGAACACGAACGTAATCAAGGTTATAGAGAAAAATCAGACAAATAGATAAGCAAACTTAAATGGCTGCAATCCAAAGCTTGCATTATTGTGCAACCAATTCATTCAACACTACACAACTTTCATATAACTAGAGAATTTCGGTCATTTTCAGCTAACTAAGTAGACAAGAATTCTTGAATTGACGAACTTTCAAAATCCGGATGCAGGAGATCACATTAACTATAATTCAATGGTGATGGGAGGAAGAAGCATTTGAAGCGAATTGGTCTTTTCCTGAAAGAGATACAACCTAGGAGCATCAATCAATTCATCGACAACCCAATTTTTATCAAAAAAAAAAAAAAACAATTATTTGATAACAAATTCTAAATATTTCAAATAAAACAAAACCAATTGTACACATGATGGCATGGCGACTTATAAATATGATAGCATAAAGGCATTAAAATTTAAGATCATAGCACTTGGTGAAATTCCACAGTTAAAAGCTACTTGGCGAAGTCAAACTTTATAATAACCAAAGAGAGAGAAATGCATTAAAAACCCATACAAATGCCAATCAGCAGGCTTCTTAAATGGATTGTTAAGGTCAGGTCGTACTTCTTAGAAGAGCATGCAACGTTGCCTCAAGGAATTACCTCTGGCCCTAGGGTCTGTGGGGGTCAATACGGGGATCTTCTTCAGGGAAATGATCCCACGCCTCAGATATGTTTGCTTCTCTTTTCTTTCTACGAGTAGGGGGTTAGATGAGCTGTAACCAACGATGTTTCAGCTAGGGAAGAATCAAGATCAACAAAAGTGGTTGTCGTGATTGTTCTTTGGAATCAGAGAAAGGATCTCTCCAACACAAAATTAACGTACAAACTCCGAAATCTAATTTCGAAAAATATCCAGAATTGTAATCAGCTCATAAACATATAGATCAATTTCAACCAGATCAAAGCAAATTCAACATAGAATCAGCATAAACATCAGCCCAGCATCACTACCAAACAGATATTCAGATAACTTGCAATCAAAAATTAAACAGTTCAAACACATAAGCAGAATACAACAGCTAATAAAAAATACTTAATCATCTAAACAGTATCGGCATCGACCCGCCAACAGAACAACCAAAAGAACGCAACAGTTACCTCAATCCTCAAATCAACAACCCGGTAAACCACGGTGCAATCAAGGCTGACAGACAAAAAAAACAATTGATTAGATACTAGCATCAAACCAAAACGCAAATGAATTTAAAAACAAAAAGTATAATTTGTAAATTAAAAATAAAAATCAGGTTTTCCCTGAACACTCACAGATCGGCTTGCTGATGGCTTCAGTTGCTTCCATGGCTTCGCTTGAAAATTGTGAGCCGGAGTCGTGGTGATTACTACGACGGTGCTAGGGTTTCGGATTGGCCAAGGGTTTGACAAGGCAGGCGCTACTTTGACATGTAAATGCAGATGGGAGGGTTGCGTGGCGAGGACGAAGACCTAGAAGTTGTGATCCTGCGTTTTCTTACCTACAATACTAGTCAGCTATGACGTTGACGCGTGGCGATAAAGAAAATTAATAATCGCCTCTCGGGCCCCCTTCCTTGGAAAGGTGAGACGTATTTTTCAAAGTTTGATCATTTTTTTAGATAAAATTTTATAAATGATATAGTATAGAGGGTTGGTAATTAGATTATTAGTTAAATGTTAATTAAATTGTTTACTTTTTATTAGTAACATGTTATATAATTTACAAATTTAGTCTAAAATATTAAAGGTATTTTTAGTACTCTACTTGAATCCAATTTTATAGACTCAATAACATTTTTGAAGTTTTATATCTTATTTTGGTTGGATTGTTTTCATAAACTCCACTCAAACAAACTTAAAAATTAACCTACTTATAGAAAACGCAAAAAGTGAGTTTTTAAAAATTTTAAACTCCAAACCTACTACTTTCTTTATTTTGTCCTCTCACTCTCAAACTTCGTCTGCAAGCTCTCTATCTCAATCTTATTTTTATCTCCCCTCATTTCTTTCTCTCTCCTCCACTCTCCCTTCCTTCTGAATCTCTACCTTATAGTTCTCTCACCTCTTAGCTCTTTTTCTCCTCTCTCTTTTTTATCTCTCTTTGACTCTCTTGAATTTATTTGTCTGTCCAATTAAATTTAATAGTAATATTCGAATTTACAAGGAGCTTCTATTGGGTTTTTTTTTCTTCTCTCTTAAACTATTAAAATTTAAAAACAACTTTGAGTCTCATATCAAATAAGTTTTTAAATCTTAAAGAAAACCGTTCTTAAAAGATGTTTTTAAGAAATGTCTTGAAAATTTCTAAAATTTTTTTAATACGATACCAAGCAAACCCTAATCTACCTAAATTACTCATTTTTTAAGGATGCCATTGTTGACATTCATTTTGTAAACTTAATTTGCTTATTAAAAAAATAATATCACTAAGGATTCTAATTTGCCCTTATTTTAGAGCACACAACCAAGAATAATTTTAACCAGCGCACTCGCTGTCTTTCCTCAACCCATTTACTCTAGCTTCTAGCTCAACACTCCTCGCTGGCGACGACTCCACTGATTCAAATATCCATCGCCCAACCCAAATCCCAAGCTTTCAACTTGTGAAACTTCTCTTCGAATGTGAAGCCAAGTCATATAAAAAAGTTCATAACACTTGTGATTCAAAATCCCCATTGGTCATGAAAGTTTTTCAACATCTCCATGAAACTCTGTGAATTGAGCTCAGTACACCCACGAAGAAAATTGAGGTTCCATTATAAAATCGATTAGCAATATAAGGAGTAGCTCAATTATGTATAAGGACATGCAAAGTCATTTCTTTCCCCGACTTTGAATTTATATTTTCAATACCTCTTCACGCAAGGGCGGAGCCAATGAAGGTTTAGATCATCTCCAAAGGAGATGTCAAATATTCCAAATAGAATTAAAAGACATTCAAGTGTTCTCCAATGGACATTCAAGTGTGTATATATACATTCCATGTGCATGTGCAATCGTTTGAGATGTTCATGGTGCATCAAAACTATATTGTTTGGTTATCTGATACATAAATGTATGGCAAACGGGTAAATTAGGGCAAAATGGCCAATGTAGGGGTCATGTGGTGAGCTACATATCATGAAGGACAACCAAAATGTGAAGGGACGGTATGATATGGCACTGTGTATAATGATTCGATTATTATTATCATATTTTATAGTATGTGTAAAACAACACGCTTGACTAAAATTTTATAAGTGATATAATATAAATGCTAGTGATTGAATTATTAATTAAATGTTGATTAAATTGTTTAGTTTTTATTAGTGACATATCATATAGTTTATAAATTTAGTTTAAAATCTTAAATGCATGTTTGGTATTCTACTTGAATCCAATTTTATAAACTCAAAAATACATTTTAAGTTTTACGCCTTATTTTGGTTTTACTGTTTTCATAAACTCCACTCAAACAAACTTAAAAATTAGCCTACTTATAGAAAACACAAAAAATGAGTTTTTAAAAATTTTAAACTCCAAACCCACTACTTTCTCTATTTTCTCCTCTCACTCTCAAACTTTGCTTGCAAGCTCTCTATCTCTATCCTATTTTTTTCTCTCCTCTCATTTCTTTCTCTCTCCTCTACTCCCCCTTCCTTCTGAATCTCTCTCTACTCCGACTGTCTCTATGAATTTATTTGTCTGTCCAATTAAATTTAATAGTAATATTCGAATTCACGAGGAGCTGCTATTGGTTTTTTTTTCTTTTCTCTTAAATTATTAAAATTTAAAAATAATTTTGAGTCTCGTACCAAATAAGTTTTTAAAACTTAAAGAAAACTGTTCTTAAAAGATGTTTTTAAGAAATGTTTTGAAAAAATCTGAAATTTTTTAATACGATACCAAGTAGACCATAGTCTACCTAAATTACTTATTTTTTAAGGATGCCTTTATTGACATCCATTTTGTAAAATTAATTTGCTTATTAAAAAAATATTATCACTAAGGTTCCTAGTTTGCCCTTATTTTAGATCACACAACCATAAACAATTTGAACTGACGCACTTGTTGCCTTCCCTCAACCCTTTTACTCTAGCTTTCAGCTCACCACTCTTCGCTACGACAACTCTACTGATTCAAATATCTGTCGCCCAACCCAAATCCCAAGCTTTCAATTTGTGAAATATCTCTTCGAATGAAATGCCAAATTACATGAAAAAGTTCATAACACTTGTGATTCAAAATCCCCATCGGCCATGAAAGTTTTTCAACATCTCCATGAAACTTTGTGAATTGAGCTTAGTACACCTACGAAAAAAATTGAGGTTCCATTATAAAATTGATTAGCAATATAAGGAGTAGCTCAATTATGTATAAGGACATGCAAAGTCATTTCTTTTCCCGACATTGAATTAAAATTTTCAATATCTCCTCATGCAAGGGTAGAGCCAATGAAGGCTTAGACCATCTCCAAAGGAGATGTCAAATATGCCAAATAGAATTAAAAGACATTCAAGTGTTCTCTAATGGATATGCCAAATATGATGTGGCAGCTGAGTCATTTGACTCCTTACTTTCTAGCTGTCTTTTTTTACAGCAAACAAAGAAGGTGTGAAGTCTAGTTTTATTGTTTGGTTTCCCTTGTCAAATGTTGTAAATTGTACCATACATGCTTTAGTTATATTTAGGGTTTAATTGATTCTCTGGGATCATGTTGCTGGAAATATCACTTCAAGAGCTTAATTTCTCTCATCAAAGGTTTGTTCATACATATGCATTTCATGCAACTATTTCCAATTCATTCTATCTAGGTGTTCTGTCTCGTCAAAACTTCTCGCTGCTTTCACGCAAGCTGGGGACACACTTTAAGACAACCCACATGTGCCATTTGACAACTTTTTCCCGAAAATGGGTTTTTAGCCCTAGATCTTTCCAGATTGATTTTGCACATGACATGTGGCTTTTTTGGTCCCCTGTTCTGCCTATACACCAAGCCTTCTTTATAAAGATCAAGCTAGGGTTCATTCGGTTTTTGGGGTTGAGATTGGAAAAGTTTTCTGGAGAGCTTTATTTTCATCTCCATCTCAGACCTCCTAAGAGCATCAAACATATTTTATAGGTAATGTTCTTCATCGAATATTTCAAAATCTAACTTTGAAATTGCTTGGTTAAATTTGTTTTATATGCTCATTTGTTTTGGCTAGGAGTATTACATTTTTAGAAAATAGTTGATTTTAGCTTTGAGCTACCTCTTGTGTTCTTCATTGAAACCCTAGCCACAAAGTCATGTTCATGCATCAAACACCCAATCATTGCATATTAGGGTAGCATTTTCTTCATGGTTTTGTTTTAATTTCGTGGTCAAGTTTTTCAAGTATCAAATCTTTAAACTAACATCTTTTTAGATTTGCATTAGTTTCATCTTTCAAGGGTTTGACTGGTGAAACTGACTATACAATCGAATCCAGATTTGCATCAACTTCATCATAACATCATTTGCATAAGTTGATTGGATTTCGGTGCTGCAAGGTGAAGAGCTCAGGATGAGCTGCCACTTCATGAAGACTGAAAGAATCCATCTTGTGGAAGGCAAGGTTGCACAAAGGTACAAGCTGCTCCGTAGATTAGGATCTAGGAATTGAGCTTGTGTGGTTACTTTGTAAGAATCTTGATTTCACTAGTGGATTGGATTTAGTAGAGAGTACCCGGTTTTTTTTACCCAAATGTGGGTTTTTTCGGCCAAAAACATCTTGCGTTGTTTGTCTCTTAAGCTTGTCCACATATCTTATTTACTTGTATATGTTTCATGCATCCTATAAATTGTTATTTAATATGTGTTAGAGACTAAGCTTACGCTGCATATTATGAGCAATGAACTGATTTGTTGTTGACTAAGATAGCTCGTAGTGATCTAAATTTGGTTCATAGATTTGCATTTGATTAACTGACGAATTTGTACTTGTTGACAGGTGAGCTTAACTAGTCAATCTCGCATACTTTAACTCATAATTGCTTTGTTATTATTGTTTGCATAATGAATCGATATGTAAACGTGTTCAAGCTTAGGAATTATTGTTCTGAAACTAATCTGGGCAGACTCTGATTAGTTGAACGTATTGGTCAATTATGTTTTGTTCTTACAACTGCACTTTATATCACTGACTAACTTGTATCTAGTCTACTGTGCAAAGTTAATTTTATTTACAGGATATTCCGCCAAGTACCGAATTTTAGATTGAGTCAAATATTTTTAATTTTATTTTTTAATTCATAGGTCCCATTAACAACCAATAGAATAAAAACAAAAATTAATTTTGATTATTTTAATAGTTAATATATCTCTGGGCGCAATAAAATAATAATATGCATATTTGATACATCTATTGGAAAAGAAAAGGATTTAGCACTTGTATTCAATTTGCCAGATCAACCATCAAACATAATTTTGACATACTATTTTTGACATCTCCTTTAGGGATGCTCTTAGTATAGTCAATTGACCCTTCTCAAGTTATATTGCATATTTGTATATGTTCAAATTTGATTTTGTATGTATTATTCTCAAGGCATGGTCCTTCTCACCGATTGGACCTTTATTGAAATAAAAGCTGACATAAATTTCACAAATATGAAAATTTTGATTTGTTGACTTGTATGTTTCTAGGGCCTAGAAGATATTTAAAAAAATGGTAATATGAATGCTAAATGTGGTAGTAGTTGTGGTTAGTTGTTGAAATAAATTTTTATATTAGTGAAATTTACTACCCTACATGAAGACATAGCACCTCAATCCATGAATAGGAAATCAACTTGGCAAACCTAAGGATTTTGTGCTATTAGATGATTTTATTTTGTTTTGTCTTAATTTTTGTTAATTTAAGTTGACCATCCTTAGTAGATTTTTCTGACTCCACCAGTACTCTCACGTGTGGCAAGTTCTCAAGTTTAATATGTGGACAACATAAATTGGGTGACGTGGAGTACGTGTGGTTGTTGTGGTTCACACATGAGACAATCTGCTTTGATACCATGAAGAAAGTTGAAGTTTCATCATAAAACTTATTGGAAATATGAGGAATGCCTAATTACTTATAAGCACATGCAAGGTCCATTCTTTACCCAATGTGGGATTAATATTTTCAACACCATTGTGAAGCCAAATATAATCCCAAAAATCCAGAAGGTGACACGTGGACTTTTACTCATGAAAGATAAGATTGCCCTCACTAAATGGGCATCGAATATTTATATTACCACTCACAACTCATCATCCCTACAAGTTCAAGCAGCGGACTATGACTGCTTAAAACTCCCCTACTCGTGGCATAAAAAAGTCAAAGGCATTAAAGATATAATTTATCAAGTAAGGAATCCCTACCACAATCAATTAGGGATATTATCACTATTATTCTAAGATATTATCTCCTAATTAATATCATGGAAATATATTTTCCTTGCGCATCCTACGAATGACATAACTTGGCCAATAAGAGGCTACCATGTGTAGGGCAGAACCATACACCATGGTCGGCCACTACATCCTATAAATACCCTCATCACCTCCAAAATTTGATAAGTTTTTCGCTATACCAAAAAACCTAAATACTCACTCTATTCAGAGTTTCTGACTTAGGCATCGGATATCCATTAGCCAAATCATATTCCCCTTCCCTCACTCCTCGTGGGTGCGTGAGGCTTTGGACTTTGATAAAAAAATGTTGATTGTTTTGTAGATACAATTTTGTCAAGACTGAAGACGACGAAAATTTTCTGCCACAAGTTAGTGCTTTCATTGAAAGTTTGATTCACACACTTGAGAAAGTCTTTCGCATTCAACGTTTCAAAATTTTTGTTTATATGTAGATATTCCCACATGTTCCTATTCTTAGAATTTTTATTTAAATTCTTTGAATAGCCCCGGTGAAGAAACACGATGATGGGAAATTATGAAACCACGGCAAATGGAACATTCTACGTATAAGGATTTAGACCGGAAGATGGATCACCACATAGCCCCATGTCGTCGCTCCTCGAGGATCACCACGGCAAAATAAGCAACTCTACCACCATGGGGCGCCACTGTTACCATGCCAGCAGTGAAAACAGTCACTGCAGTGGTCCACAGTGCACCCTCGAGCCATGGTGAAGAAGCTACGAAGCATCAAACCCACAACGCAAGGGCATCAATTCAACAAGCCTAGGTAGCTACAGGCCTAAGGTAGCAATGAAAATATCTTGCCCAATCCACATGGGTCTAAACCATAAGCAAGACCTAAAAGCGTCGCTGCCCTAACAACACAAGCCCAAGATGGGTAGCCAGGCCAGACATAACTCAGGCCTAGCACGCACATAGTTTGGCATGCTCTCAAGCGCCTAACCGGCTTCCGCGGCCCACCTGATGGGTCCCAGACCTGTTCAACCGACCCAACTTAAGGTTCACAGATTGGCGATTAAACTGGGATTATTTTTGCTTCGTTTTTTTTTTGCAGATTTACTAGTCCCAGCTTGAATTTTAGATCCGAAATCCATTACACTTCCACTACTCATATAGATGTCTATCATCCAAGCTCTTCCACCCCGAATAGTGAACAACATTTGTCTCGACAGGTCGCAGATTTGACAAGCGTATTTGCGTAGTAGACGACTTTCATGAATCAGCTCTTATAGTACATCGAGACACAGCGCACCCCAGATGAGGTGTCCAGAAATAGGACAAGGGCATACGACGACATTTCTTTCCAGCACGTCCCATGCATTATGTTTACCCATTTAATTATGCATTATTAGTTGCATATATATATATGTGTGTGTGTGTGTGTGTGTGTGTTGGTGCTGCGGATGCATAGGTAAGTGCCAGGTAAGTTATGGTTTATGTTTATGTTCAGTAGTGATTTGAGATGCATAGAGAGCTCATAACCTGCACCTCCGGTGTTAATGCTCCCGTCCAGAGTTGGGCACAGTCCTTCACGTGATGTTCACCTCCCGCACCACACGCTCATCTTGGATCCAAGTTAGGTGCACAGTCCTATCGTACATACCACTTTAGGTGGTTCCGACTTGTAGGTGACCCGCGATTATTCGCCCAGTCTTCACGTGATCGTAGCACTTAAGCGTACTTATTATACACCCAGTCCTGTCGTACAGACCACTTTAGGTGATTCCGACTCGTGTGCAGGTATAGTTAGTGAGATGGAGATTTAAGCTCTAGATTCAGCCGTACAGGTCACGTTAGGTGACTCCAGCTGACAGATTACATGACATTGTTTGGCATTACCTGAGTACTTACATTTTATTTCGAGACATTTGGCATGGCATATTTCCGAGCATGATTTATATATATATATGTATATATTCTATTTTTCTGGGAAGTATATAGGTTTTACGGCCAGGGGTTAGAACTTTGTTTATGAAATGGTTTTTGAAAAGCTTTATTTTTGCCCGCTCACGCTTTTTGTTTTGTGCCCCTCCAGGTTCTAGTTTGGCTAGCGCCTTTGGTGGCTCCCCAGAGGATTTTCCCGGCTTATATGACAGATTATCACCAATGTAGGACCACCTTTGGGTGTGCTTAATTAGTGTTGTTTCTCCCAGATTGCATTAAGTCTTTCGTGCTCTGAACTTTGTTTTTCACACTTACGCTTGCACATGTATGTTATTTACTTTGTGTATAGCTGTGTTTTTGTTTATTTGTACTTTTATTATTATTTATTAGCTTCCGCACTGTTCACATGGTTACGTCACTTTCACGTGACGACCAGCATGCCCTGACCTTGGTCGGAATGTGTCAGCATATGTGACTATGTGCTTTACATATGATAATTAACGAAAATAATTGATTGATTAGGTTCAAAATATATTTGTTAATTAGTATGGATTTTTAACTTTATTGGTCAAACGTATGAATTTTTAACTTTTTTGGCCGAACATATGGATTTTTAACTATCATACCTTTATATAGATGGATGCCAGAATTTGAACCGATACATAAAAAATTGTATCCATGAGGGATGTGTTGGCATAAATGCCCTTCCATTTATTTCTAGAATCCGAATTCTCTCCGGCTCTTTTTGTGAGAGTTTTAAAAATTCGTGAATTGTATCTATTAGTCGTATATCGTAAACGTTAATTTTTTTAAATACTATTTATATTTAATTTTAAATAATAAAATTTAAAATAATTCCTAAAAACACGATGACAAATAAAATATACAGATCCTCGAAATCTTTCCGAAGAGAATCCGATGACGATTCTTATTCCCAATTCACATCTCCCCTATGACCCATACTGATTCCAGTAAGTAGCTAACCTTTTGGCCTTCCTCCTCTGCCTTGTCTTTTATCCAAAGTCACCGTCCGCAGTCAGAAGCTTTTACATTTATTTATATAAAGGAAACTCGATCCTCACTCAAAATCCAAAGGAAAGATAACCCACATCAAATCTCAATGGAGATTAGTGCCCCAGTCCCCCATGGCCCCTCCTCCTCTTTCTCAAGTCCCCGGGCCTACCTCCGAGCCCTGGCTGACACACCCACCCGCCTCGCTCGCCGGGCCAGTTCCGTCTCCACCTCCTACGACGAAATGAGCGCCGTCCGAGCTCGCTCCGGCCCCCACATGCAGAAGACGCTCCGCTGGTTCGACCTCGTCGGATTGGGCCTCGGCGGGATGGTCGGTGCTGGCGTCTTTGTCACCACCGGTCGTGCCAGTCGCCTCTACGCCGGCCCAGCTATCGTCATCTCCTACGCCATTGCCGGATTCTGCGCTCTTCTCTCCGCCTTCTGCTACACTGAGTTCGCCGTCGACATGCCCGTTGCTGGCGGCGCCTTTAGCTACCTCCGCGTCACCTTCGGTAAACTTTCTGATATTTTCTTCTGTTCTTTCTTTCTCTATGTTTCTAATAATTAATTACTTAAATGCTTTCCTTTTTGGCTTATTTTTGATATTTTTGGTTTGGGATTTGGGGTTTGGGCGTTTGGGTTTCTCAGGTGAATTCGTGGCGTTTTTAACCGGAGCGAACCTGGTGATGGACTACGTAATGTCGAACGCCGCCGTCGCGAGGGGCTTCACCGCCTACTTGGGCTCTGCAATCGGCGTCCCCGCCGCCAAATGGAGGTTCACTGTCTCCGTACTCCCCGACGGATTCAATCAGACCGACGTCGTCGCCGTCGTCGTCGTTTTAACCATTACGCTTATCATCTGCTACAGTACGAAGGAGAGCTCTGTTTTGAACATGGTGCTGACGGCGGTGCATATAATTTTCATCATGTTTGTTATAGTCGCTGGATTCTGCAAAGGGGACTGGAACAACTTCACGCACCCGGCCGACCCGGCTCGGCCATCCGGGTTTTTTCCTTACGGGGTTTCGGGTGTGTTTAATGGGGCAAGTATGGTTTACCTCAGCTACATCGGGTACGACGCCGTATCGACGATGGCGGAAGAGGTGAAGAATCCGGTTAAGGACATCCCAATCGGCGTGTCGGGCTCAGTCTTGCTCGTCACCGTCCTCTACTGCTTAATGGCGGCGTCCATGTCGAAGCTCCTCCCGTACGACGCGATCGACCCGGAGGCTCCGTTTTCGGCAGCGTTCAGGGGGAAGTGGGAGTCGAACGTGATCGGAGTGGGGGCCAGTTTTGGAATTCTAACGTCACTGCTTGTGGCCATGCTGGGCCAGGCGCGTTACATGTGTGTCATCGGACGGTCCAGGGTTGTCCCTGGTTGGTTCGCTAGGGTCCACCCTAAGACATCCACGCCTGTCAACGCCTCCGCTTTTCTCGGTACGTTAATTATCCAAAAGTTTTATATTTCTTTTTTTTTTTTCCTCCTTCGTTGGTTTGTTTCTTTTATTTTAATTTTTTGTTTTGTGTTGATCTGAGAAAGAAAGAAATCAAATCACACACAAATACAGCGTTAGATTTTTTCATGAACACGAAACATTGGCATCACGCGGCCTAATATTGTTTAATGTTCTTTTACTCGTTTTATGATCTGTGCTGTATCAAATTATGCTTCGGGTCAAAAATCACACAACGGTGGATTAATACAGTAAAAATTTCTGGATAAAATTCCAATATGTAATTCAGTAGATAAATATATTACATAGTCTATTTTATAAATTAGTAACTTATCCATTTAGTGTTTTTATTATTAGAAAAAATAAACACCTTAATTAATTAAGGATTAAATCATCAATCCTCATATATTTTTTATTAACGTATGCTTATCAAATGAGCATAAAGAGATTTTTTCAAAAGTAAAATTTTTCATAGACTCTAAATCATTTTATATTTTTGCTATAATTCCCATGCCAATATTACAATTATGGTGCAAAAAAAAAAGATGGCTAAGAGTCTATAGAGAGTTCTATTTTGATGAGTAATACTATATTTACCACTTATTTGTAATGTCTTTGTAATAGACGTAGGATCTGTCACCAGAAGTTGTCTCATCTCTCTGACACATTATGTTACAAATAATTGGTAAAAACAACATTTTTACATTTGGAGAGAGTCTTATTAGCATTTTTCTTATTAAATTTGGATTTGGATCTGGATCCTCTTCTAAGCTTAGGAGACTGAGCCTTCTAAGCAAAGCATACGGGCAGTAGGATTTTGATCTAACAGTTACAAATAAGAGAGTCTTTTAAAAATTATAATAATTGTAACCGTTAGATCAAAATTTAACAATTCATATGCTTTGTTTTAGTGGCTCAACCTTCTAAGATAGGATCCAAATCCATTAAATTTAGGGTGGTTGTGATAATGTGTCAGTCGATAATGGTAATAATATAACGCTTTCTTTTCGTGTTTATCAATCAATGTGAGAGTTAATGTGTTTGCGTGCAATGCGTGTGTTGTTTGCTGTGCGCGCACTTTGCCCCATGCGAAGGAGGAGGTTTATTCCGGGCGTTTCGAACTAATTCTGTGGTGGGGTCCATTTGAACCGTTTCCGTTTTCCACGGCCGACCGACCGACCGTCCGTTTTGTTTTGGCTCATCTTCTTTTGACCAAAAAAAGTTCTAGCATCGCCCGACGGATGAGTTGACGGATTTTGTAAGTATATTTGTCAGCAGCTGATTGGTAGAGTTAGGAGTTAGGATTAGTGGAGGGATTAGGAGAAAATCCTCCTGATCAAGCAGCGTGGGCTGTTAGATTACCATCCAACGATTATAATTAATATAACTTTAAAGGAACTCCAGTTTATAGCCCAATAGCCCCACACTGCTTAGTCAGGAGAATCCTTTTCTTAGGTTCAAGAGATGATCCAAATCCTTAGTGGAGAGATTTTCAATGTGATCGGCACATGGTGGTACATCACGTGTCCTTATATAAATGATGGAATATGTGTTAAAAAATTAATAAATTAAAAATTAAAAAATTTCACTATTTATATAAAAATACATGGTGTACTATTTGTATTTCCGTCACAATTAAAAAATTTCTCTAGTGCGTGGCTGGTAAGAGGCACACGTAGGAAATTATCAACTGTTGATTAGTGTAGGGTTTAGTGAGTCCTCCATCTCCTCCCTGCCATGAATGGTTGGGAATTGCGTGGCCCACTTAAACCCTAAATATTTGTTGTTGCTAATAATAAATAAAGATGATGTGAAAAAAGATCCTACCTTTGTCCACCAGCGAAAGTGTGAGAACTGCAGCTTCTTCGTCCTTCCTTCCTGTAATCTATGTGTTTATCTAATAAGATGTGATGAGGAAAGAGGGATGTCAATGTGAGTCATCTTCATCCATTTTGGATTTTGCTTAAGCTACCTCGGAAGTAGATGCGACAAATCAACTCATTAGGTTGTTAACGGGTACCAGATTTATTTAGTTTTACTTCACTTACACGATTGTTAACACTACAAATTTCACTTCTGTATTATGATGATATCAATTAAACAAGTCTTAATTGGTATTCATTAACAACCCAATATGTTGATTTTCTGCATCTACCCGGTAAGACAATATGAGTGTTTGAATTTGTTTGATGTTTGTGAGGAATTGAAAAAATCAAGACAACTGTTAAAACGTAACATCCGAAGTATCTCATACTTCAGAACACCATAGAATTTTTGTATTTATCGTCATAAGTTCTCATAACATTGTTGTTCTGCTCTATTCGTCGTCTCATAGCATGTTTAATCTTGTTGGTGGTGTTGGTGATGAGTATATTTTGGTGATATATCAATTGGTTGCAGCCGCCCGCGAGCTGTGCGCATGGGTGAAATGGAACTATGCTAGGAATTTGCTTTTGTCAACTTTAGTGCAATGGGCGTATCAGATTTCTCTCCATCAATTTATCTATCTATCTATCTATCTCGTGGTCGTAGTATCAATTTTCTTTTTTCAATATCTAATATAAAACATGGTTGATAGTTACCTTTGCAGCCAGCTTTTATCATGTTCATGGGCATTCTGACTTTAGCATCATCGTCATCTTTATCTTTATCTCTGTCGCTTTCGTGTTCGATTTTTAAGTTGTAGGAGATTTTAATGTTCAAGTTACGAGTGAGTCAAATGGTCGAGATTGGTCCAACCATGCATCTTCAATGTTCACTAGATAAAAATCCCTGCATATGCATGCACTTGCAGCCATTGATGGAAGACGACCTTTTATTTTCTCTCAATCTCACCTGTCAAACTTCGTATAAATGGCTATCCCACTCAACTCGGCAACTTGGCTCTCATATTCTTTGTCACATTTATGCTTTTGTTTTGTGGGTGCTCGTCTAATCTTCATCTCCCATCACCTCTTTGTTTTTCTCGTCTTAGTCCCGAAAATTAAAAAAATTAAAAAATTAAAGTTACTCGCCCTTAGAAAAAGTCTAGTCTATGTTACGTGTGTTTTTTATTTTTTTTCCTGTTCTTCTCCATGTTTTTCGTACTTGCATATTTGTGACTTGTTCCTTTCAGGTATCTTGACAGCCGCAATTGCGCTTTTCACGGATCTGAATGTCCTTCTCAACCTTGTATCCATCGGAACGCTATTTGTTTTCTACATGGTGGCCAACGCTGTGATTTTTAGGCGCTATGTCGTGGTGGGGACGACCAATCCACGACCTACATTATCATTCCTGTGCTCATTTTCCCTCACCTCTATCATCTTCGTCTTCATTTGGCATTTCGCACCACGAGGGAAGCTGAAAGCCTTCATGCTTGTTGTCACCGCAGCAATTGCGGTTTCAATGCTGCAAATTTTCCATTTCCAGGTTCCACAAGTGAGAAAGCCGGAATATTGGGGCGTCCCCTTGATGCCATGGATGCCATCCATCTCCATCTTCTTGAACATATTTTTGTTGGGGTCTATGGACAAGCCATCCTATGTGAGGTTCGGAGTCTTTTCGGGAGTTACCGTGCTCGTGTACGTGTTCTATAGCGTTCATGCTAGCTTTGATGCAGAAGGAAGTGGATCTCTCAATCAAAAGAACGGTGAATTTCAGAGAGAATCAGCTCAAGAAAGTAATGATCCAAGTCTTGGAGTGTAGATATTTCATCTATTGACTTGTAATTGTGATGTTGATGGACCAATTAGAGAGGGAAAACAAGGAGAAGAGAAAAGGTTAGGAAGAATAGATGGCGCGCATCTTTGCCCAAATGACAAATGTATAGTTTGGTGTTTGGTGGGTACTTGAAAAAGCAAAGCTTTTTAGGCTATGGTTCCTTTACCCGGCTGGCAATGTAATCCCATCAACTTTATCGTTGGATGTTGATCTCACTAGTAATGACTTGTAAGATAGAGCATCACAAAAATGCAAACCAAATAAAAATTTCCATGTGCTCAGAGTCGGGAATACAGGTTGGTACGTGCGATATAATATAAGTGAAGAGATGATATATTATTTAGTGTCTCCACTTGTATTATTAAACGTGATGTACATGCTTGTGTTTCACTGACAAAATTTCTTGCAAAGCAAAATTTCAACCACCACGGGGTGACCTAGTGGATGGTGACGAATTCGAAGCTTGTAATTTACACGACATGTCCTGAGGTCAATTCTTGACACTTATGAATCACACGATAGTGATCATTGAGAGGCTGAAGTGCTTTTGTGAGTCTTCCACTCTTAGAAGAGTTTACTGCCATGATGAAATCACTAACTAGCCATTTTAAAAAGGTTTTTTTTAGCCAAAATAGTCTCTGAGATTTGCATAACTCCTCATTTTGATCCCTAAGATTTGAAATTGATAGAATTGGTCTTTGAGTTTGTCTACAATCAATCATTTTAGTCATTCTATGAAAAATCTTCATAAGATAAGGATAAAATAGCAAAAATACCCTCAAATTTGGTCAAATCATTTTGGCCTATTGTTCATTAAATTGAGGGTAGCTTTGTCATTTTGATCCTTATTTAACATAATATTTCACCCAAATATCAAAATGATTGATGGTGGACAATCTCATGAAACTAAAGTGAGAAGTTATGCAAATCTCAATAATCATTTTAACTTAAAAAGTCTTTAAAAGGGTTTTTATACCACCTAGTTGGGGTGGCCCAAAACAAAGTGTTCATACTAAAATGAGTAGCTTTGTTAATTCAAACTTAAATAATGTTGCAACATGCTCAAATTCTTGAAAGAGTTGAAAATTTTATCGGGGGACTATTGAAGAATCTTTGATACTATTTTTAGCCTGCACAAAGTTATGTATGGATGACTGATATTCATTATCTAGTTTAATAAAATGCTCCTACTATCTTTCGAGGATAATTACTGTCGACATTTTCTAATTCGAAATCAAGACCATCAAAGACTAAGGATTATATTTATCATGAAGAATCTTCAGCAATACATTGTAACGATGCACGATGCGCTCATTCTTTTCTTTCGGCTTCTATAGCAGGAATTAAAAAGTAAGAAAAGGACAAAAACACCGGGCACCATGTCTTATCTTTCTTTCATTTCAGTTGAAGATAGTGATCTTTTTTTTTTTTTTTTTTTTTTTTTGGGTGCTTGTGCGTGTAAAAATAAAGGAGAAAGATTATCTACTTTTTTTTTTTTTTTTCTCTCGTTAATATTTTATGTTAATTTTTTATAAAATGAAAATGTAAGAGAAATAGACGGAAATGAATGAAAAAAAGAAGATAGATGATCCTAATCCAAAAAGAAACGAAGGCGACAAAAAATAATGGGATAACATGTTGGGTCCATGCTTGCTAATGACAGGCTATCTCAATTGAATCCCTTTTGTCTACAACAGCAGTCAATTTGCTTTCGCTATTATTTAAGAAAAATTAATGAAAAATATTTGAAAATTTTGAATTTTAACAATAAGAAAAAAATAAAATGTAAAATAATTAGTATTATGATTGAATTTTTAATATAAAAATGTAATTTTTTGTTAAGATAAACAATACCAAAAATCTTTCGTTAAAGTATCTTATTACTTATTGTTGGGCCCAATAAACTGAGCTTTTGTTTGCCCTATTTATTTATCATGGGCGGTGGGAGGGACTGCTAATGCTTTGCTTTGCATGGGTCATATCTATTGTACTGTCCTATCAAACGGTTGATCCGTAAGTCTGACAAGGTAAATCATTCAATAATTTCAATTATTTAATGTTTGCACTTGGATGAGCATAGGAGTGAAAGTTGAATTGGAATTTTTGGTTCCACCGTTAAAATTTTAGGTTAATTATAGTTTGAACTCTTAAGTTTAAGATTCTTAACTGCAGGTTCTATCTGACCTTTACGAACAAAACGACAAGCCTACTCAGATATCAACTTTAAATCACGTGATAATCATTTGATGAAACAAAAGTCTACGAAGGGATATAAAGGTTGGCGATAGGTCTCTCAAGTGAATTTTCCCACCTACTCCAGATCCGAGCAAGGCGTTAAGTAGGGATGACAATTCTAACCGTTAAACTCAATAATCGTAGATAACCGTCCGAATAGATTGGATTTGGATATGAGAATTCGGGTATATGGATATGGGGAAAAACCGTGAATTTTATTTGGTTATGGTTTTAGATATGGTTATAGGGGTCCCTAATCCGCATTTATCCCTGAATCTGACCTGAATAAATTATTTATATATATTTGATATATAATATAATTTTATTCAATTTATGGAACCCTCTCTACATTAATTCATTATGCGTGCATCAAAACCCTATACTATATTTATTATGCACCATGGGCCATACCAACAACCTCATCAATTCAATACTCTTATTGTTATACTCAACCAAATTAATTCATTGAATCATTATATATATCAATTATCAAATGTTACAAGTTTATCAAATTCGCCTCTCTTCAAGAGTCTCACTGTCAAGAAATTGGTGCATGTTATCATGAACAACTTCAAATATATTGTTATGTTTTTTGTAATTGGATGTTGCTATTTAATGACGGAATTAGTATGTACTAAAATTTATAATGCGTCAATTGGATGAATATAATTTTTTTTTCGTTTTTTTGACGAAGATGGATATAACCGATAACCGATTGAAAATCCATTACCCAGTGGATATGGTTATGGATAATCCCCGATGGTTAATTTGTGGTTATAGGATATGGTTAATTTTTGTGGTTATGAGGATAGATATAGCATTTCCATCCCCAAACCGAACCGTTGCCATCCTTAACGCTCAACCTATGTTGTCCTAAGAAAATATGCTTTGAGCAGATGTCACTTCGTTGCCACGTAACAAAATTATAATGTCTTTGATTCAGTAAAATATGCAAGACACAAATGTTTTATCTTTGTCTTTTTTCTTCTTTACCAGCCTTCCAGAGAAGAATATGGCCTGGTGGTGAAGTATTATGCAAGGCGAGGGGACATGCATCGTGCTCGTGAAACTTTTGAGAGTATGCGGGCAAGAGGAATAGAACCATCATCACATGTGTACACAAGGTAATATTCATGCAAATCATTCACAATTTAAGCCTTCTGTCATAGACCTTTTGGGCCTCAAGTTGGATTTATGTAGACTTGTGTTCAAATTAATATTGGGCTTGAAAAATAAATACCCATAATAAAATAAATAAAATATTGAATTAAGTTTCATTCGGTTTGGTTTGGTTTCTAAACTTCTGAAGCTGCCGAAGCTAAACCAATAATTTTTGGTTCAGTTTGATTTTAATTTTGGTTCGATTTATGTTTGGTTTAGTTTAGGGGTGGTGCAGTGCGGTTTCAAGTGAAACCTGTCTGGTGCAGTGCTGCTTGACTACTGCTGTCCCATTCATTTCTTGCTTACTGCATAGCTTTTGTAGTTGTACTTTGTTCCCTCTTTGAATTCCTTGAGTTCAGGTTTACAATTTTTTTTTTTTTTTTGGGGGGTGGGGTGGGGTGGGGTGGGGGTGGTGGTATTGCACAAGTAATTATGTAAGTATTGCGCAGATGCAGAAGGCTGTTGAAATATTGGATGAGACGACACTAGCAGGCATAATTTCGGACGAGCACACATACACAACTATCATGCACGGTTATGCATCTTTAGGTGATACTGGGAAAGCCTTCGAGTATTTTACCAAATTGAGGAGTGAGGGCCTGGAGCTTGATGTGTTCACATATGAGGCTTTGCTGAAGGCATGTTGCAAGGCAGGCAGAATGCAAAGTGCATTAGCTGTCACCAAAGAAATGAGTGCTAAAAACATTCCAAGGAACACCTTTATTTACAACATATTAATTGATGGGTATGGTTTGTTAAATTTTTTATGTGCGCTGATATACTTCACACTAGTACTTCCGTCAGTCTTTATTCTACAGTTTTTTTCTTTGTTTTGTTGGATGTTTATGTAATGTTATTAATTATATTCGACTTTTTCAATATAATCTTCTCTTTTAATTGATTATTCTCTGCCTCTGAACCTGCCTTCCGTTATGCAGATGGGCTCGAAGAGGGGATGTTTGGGAGGCTGCTGACTTGATGCAGCAAATGAAAAAGGAAGGTGTTCGACCTGATATTCACACCTACACATCTTTCATAAATGCTAGTTGCAAGGCTGGAGATCTGCAGGTATTCTACAATTTTGCCAGGTCGTTGGAGATAATTTTATTTCAAGAAATATTATTGTTTCATCACCATTTTGAGCTTCTACAAATAAAATATTTATTTCATATATTTTTTGTACTTTTTTTGAGAGTACTATATTCTACAAATGGATTTTGCGACTTGTTATGCATTAGAAAGCAATGGAAAATGATGTCTTTCATATAACAGCAAAAAAAATTCATCTTGCTGATTTCAGTTGGCTCATAATTTTATTTACAATCTGTCTTTCAGAGAGCTGAACAAATAATTAAAGAAATGGAAGCGTTGGGAGTGAAGCCAAATGTGAAAACCCTACACTACGTTGATAAAGGGTTGGGCACGTGCTTCTCTCCCAGAGAAGGCCTTGAGATGCTACAAAGAGATGAAATTGGCTGGGCTGAAGCCGGACAGAGCTGTATACCATTGCTTGATGACATCTCTGCTGTCAAGGGCAACTGTTGCTGAAGTTTATATCTACACTGGCCTTCTGTCCATTTGTAAAGAGATGATTGAATCTGGGCTGACCGTTGATATGGGAACTGCAGTTCACTGGTCGATGTGCTTACGCAAGATTGAAACAACAGGCGGGGAGCTTACAGAAGCACTGCAGAAGACCTTCCCACCTGATTGGAGCTCATCTCATACTTTAGATGTAAGTTCAGATTTTGACAGTGATGATGAACTAGATATTGTTAGTGATGATGATGGTATGGAGTTTGCTAGTAGAATAAATGGTCATGAAACTATGACGAGGATAGTCTAAACGATAGAACCGGTTTGTAAATCGGGTTATGGACGAAGGTTATGGCGTGCTAATGCGCATACAGGCGTTATGTATGCTGGTTCCGATACCGTATAGCTTCATTTAAAACAGGGAGGTTGAAGAGGTTTTAGATTGCTGGAATGCTTTTTTCAGGAGAAGAACCCCCGTCATTACCATTGATATCATGATTCTTTTGTACAGAACATAAAGTTTTAATTTTATTTTTTCATGTTTTGAACAGAAATGACAATTAGGTTTTGTTTTGTTATTTCAAGTTAAGACAATTCCTTGTTCTTTTCTTAATTGTTGTGTCCAACTCCAAGTCCTCAAATGAATTTTTATTGAGCTGGCACTGTTGGAGAACGACTTACATGCAACATGTTCACTATCGCGTGACATTCTGGTCTAATAATGTATTATCATGTGTATTTTTTTTTTTTTTTCCTCACATGGAGATGCTAAGTAACAAAATCCCAAATTCATGCCGCTCTTGCCTCACTAGGCAAAGAGCGATCCCAAACAGCAGGAACATGAGACGAGTGACCCATAAAAGCCAAAGCATTAGTTACAAAATTTCCTAAAAGGTATGGAAACACGAGATAAACTAGAAGTTACACGCAAACTTTTGCACATTATGAATAATAGTAAGAAGGTGCCTAGAGAACGAAGATCCACCACTAATAACATCGATTAGTAGTTTATATTGGCTATGCTATCGAATGAAAAGTTTTAAATAAAGTTTTTTATTCGAGAAAATTCTAATTAGCTTAATTTAAATTACAGAAATAGGAACTTAAACTTGAGTTTGTTGAGAAGAGGGAGCACAATCCTCTAGCCAACTTGGCAATGTCTACAAAAAGTTTGAAATATCAAATCAAAAGATGTTGACAAAAGTGTTGGCTGTCAAAAGTCTGACTTTTTAACCATTAGATCTTTGGTCAAAAACATTAAAATCAAGATCTAATAGTAAAAATCTTAGAGTATCCACCATAAAATATTCGTTGAGGGGTGATTTTCACACTCCTTTTATTGGATTGAAATCAAACGAAATAAAAGGCCATGGTTATATAGGGGTGTGTAAGAGGCTAAAAAAGTGGGTAAAAATCAATATTTTTTGGTTGAGTTGTTTTGATGGGGCAGGCATTGAACACCATTCAATATTGTACAAACCAACAATTTATTTTTTTTTTAAGAAAAAGTAGAACAACTGGTGGCAAGCCACGATTATCCACTCCTTCCAGGCCTGGAAAGGCTGTAGTGAATTTCACTATGCCCGTGGCCACATTCAAGCTGACTCACCAACTGGTCCAACTTGGAGCGTCAAACCAACAATTAAATACACTCATGTTCTCTCCATGTTCCTTTTACTCTCCTTTTTAAAATATCACTCATCTCCTCTTATTGTAACCTCTATATATGATCTATCACATTATTATCAATTCCATAAAATAAAATAAAAAAGCAGACTTACCTTGACAACAAAAATCCCAGAATCTCAATCAAAACCAACCAATTTTGTAAGCTCGGACGGACGTCATGGATTGGATTCCAATGAAGTTGCCTTGTCTCTTCAAAACAAGGAAACGACAACGTTAGCAGCCACGTCGGCAGTGCCATGGCAGGACTGACCCTCTTGCAACCAGTCCGTCTTCTTCGATCCAAGTACGGAAGGAGGAGCTGATCAGTCTTGGTTAGCAATTTCTTCCTCCTCCTCAGATAATCAATCAACAACCGAGTCTGATGAGGACTGGGAGGAGTCCTTGGATATGGTGGTGGTCCGAGAGGCTGTTTTTCGAGCCGGAAGACAAGAGCTGCATGGTAGATATGATAGACACGGTGAAAGCAGCCGGCGGAGGAGGAGAGATGATGAATCCGTCGTTGAAGGAAAAGTACGTGGTGGTGTTAGCTAGCCAGCTTGGAATCGGAGGATCGGTTGAAAGACTTTAGGAGGTCAATGGAGGAGATGGTGGAATGTCATGCGCTTAAAGATTGGTGGAGCTGTTGGGATGGTATTTGAAGGTCATCCAGAAGAAGAATCATGGCTTTATAGTGGCAGCATTTGTGGATCTCCTTGTTGCTCTTTCGATTCTTAAATAAATATGCAATGAAGCAGATGGTCGCTAAACTACGTAAGTAAATACTGACGTGTTCTTTTCCTCATACTGCATTCTACTTCTGTTTATTTACTTGGAATAGGAAGAGTCATGAATCAAGTAACAGAAAGATGAATGAGAATGTGATCAACTAGTTCCACAACTTATTTAATTCGTGATTTCCATGAAACGCACACTTTTTTCCGTTTCCAAATGTGCTAAACAAGAAAAGTTTTCCAATGCCGATGTTTTAGTAAACGAAAAGAAATAAAGAATCACAATGATTTTAACTCTTATTCATTGTAAGTAAATATGCAAACCCTAACTTATAATTAATTACCTTGCGATATTTCAGCTTTCGTAAAGTTAATTATAAAATGTGAAAACCTGAGTTTAGCCCTTCAAACTCAATTTTCTTTATATAAAACCCTACATAACATTTTTACTCAAAGAAAACCCAATGACTAGGATGCACATAAGCAAATTCATTAACTTCATATTAATTCACACATTTTACATTTTTCACATGCCTAAAATACCCCTATTACATACTTGATGTAGACAATTAATTGTAAGGAAATAGTAAATGATTTTGCAACAAGAAAAAAAAAAGACATTAATGTTAAAAATTTATTGCATATTAATTTTTTTAGAAAGGTATTGAATTTTCATAAAACTATTCGATTCAGTTTTTTCACCCTACTCTTGAATACTTTTGAATTTATCCTTTTTTATTAATATATTAGAACATTGTATTTCATTATCTACATGCACATTAATTTACCTACGAACAATTATACCATGGGTGTAATTCAATGTATGTTAAGAAGAAATGTAGTTCGATGTATATTAAAAAGAAGAAATAATTTACCTATATTAAGAAGAAATGTAGTTCGATGTATAGTAGTAAAAATACTATGTTACACCCATGTTTATACAACAATAAAACGTGCCTAACATATCTAACAATACATGAAAAATAATTTACCTACAAGTTAGAGAAATGTTATTTGGTTGGGTGTAGTATAAATTTTTTTAATAATTGGAAAAATTAAATATAGCTAGGTGTAGTGTAATTTTTTTTATATAATTAGAACAAATTAATTTACCTACCTCCTCTTTGAAATGTTCATTTCCAATGATGCAAAATGTTCATTACCTAACTACAAATTAATTTCCAATAATTTACCTACAACAATTATACCATGGGTGTAATGTAACATCTTTCTTTACAATGATACAAAATATTGTATGTACCAACAACAAAACTTGCCTAACATAAGTACTTGTACATGGAAAATAATTTACCTATAACAAAAGAAATGCAGTTTGATGTATAAAATCAACAATATTATGTTCCACTCAACAATATTATGTTCCACTCATGTTTATACAACAACAAAATGTGTCTAACATATATAAAAATACATAGAAAATAATTTACCTACGAGTTAGAGGAATGTTATTTGATTCAAAATATATAATATAGGTGTAGTATTTTTTTTTAAAATAATTGGAACAAACTAATTTACCTACCAATTAATATGGATAAAATTGCTACGAAATATATCACGAAAAAAAAAAAAAAACTACTTTTCTAGTTTGACATAGATACGGTTAATGCAAACATTTTTTTCATTTTATTTCACTTTTCCTACTACTTTTAATTTGGCATAAATTTAGGAATTTAGAAAATGGACCATAAAGTATGAGTGGCATGAGTGTAAATAAATTGTATTAATAGGTCAATAGTGTTCCTATTTGTTTGCAAATTTTAAATTTGGGCTTAAATTGAATCTTTAAAGATAGATGAGTTTTTATCTAGAAATAATGAATTGTAAGGGCCAAAATCTAAAGCACCCTTATAAAATTGATTTTTTTTATTTTTATTTTTTATTTTACTATCTATGCCAGATAATTTGTCTGCTAAATGGAAAGATATCAATGGAAACACATGAAAGAAGGAAACGAAATAATCTACTACGAATCTCTCCTAAAGTAACCAGATCTTGTTTCCACCTCCTCATTGATACTGGAATGCAAACGAGTAAGTTTACATGCTTCCTCTTAAGGACTTAGGAGTCCTTAATTACTAGTATAAATAGTTCGTTCATGAACAATCCAAGGCACGCAATACTTTGAGCTCTAAGTAGAATTCTTTGGTTCAAAATTATACGAGCTACTGTGACTCTCGGAGGGTCTTTAGTCGGTACCACATCATTGTCTTTTTGTCTTGAAGGATTTTGCAGTTAGGTTGTTGATTACAATTGCAACTCAAGGGAGTGAAAATTTTGTCATAACAATGGCGTCAGAAACGAATTACAATATTCCAGGGGAGATTCCTGACATTGTGTCCTTGTATACCTTTGACAATGAACCTAAGAAAAGAAGCAGTGGAAAAGCAAAGAGTAGTAAACCAGAAAATAACAAGGAAGCGAGTTCCTCGTCAGCCGCGGAAAAGAAGAGCAGCTCTAATAAACGACAACCAACTACTAAGGACTGAACATCCGAATCTTTAGTAAGAAAAAAAATAACATCAGAAGCCTTGAGTTTAATTTTAGATACAATAAAATTGTAGGACCGATTTCAAATCTTGATGCATTGGCATGTTGAAGTATTACAAACTTCGACAGATTTTTGTTTTTGTTTCTTTTTATTTGATGATTCTCTTTGACAATTGTTTAATATAATGAATGTTTAGTTTGCATTTTTTTTTTAATATTTTTGGTTTGATTTAATAAATAATTTACAATTCTTGTATAATCAGTTGATATTTATGTTCGAACAAAGGTCATTACAGCCATCCATACTGTTACCATATTTCTCTCTCAAAAAACCTATAAAAACCCATCTCTCAGCCGCCAGCCTTTGGCTATGGCTGGGGCCGGTGGCTGTTTCTCCCTCCAT